TGTTTCCCATCACCCTCAAATAAGGTGATAAACCATTTTATTTGAAGAAAAATACGTATCTGGAACATAAGGAGAACTCAATCAATTGCATGAATAGAATAAGTCACAGGTTTATGTATGTACTAATTGAACCCAGAGTCAAATATGAATGCCATTTAAGTTGTGTGTTTAACATAATGATTGTCACTACTGGTCATATTCTTTGTTTGTCAAAATAGACCTAAAAGTTAAAAGAATAAAAATAGAATGAAAACTGCTGCTGCAATGTGGCCGATTAGTCCTGATTATTTTGATTCTGATCCAATAGTACACGCAGTGGCTCTATAAAAAGCTGTTGTTGGTACTGAAATCCCTCAAGATATAATACTGTTTGTATTTCTATAGGTACACTTGAAAGGTTTGTATGCATGTCATCATGTCATCAGTCTTGTCAGTTTTGTAAACCTCATACATCTGAAGAGTTGTTTAGAAGCAATTTCTTTACTATTACCTGAAAAGCCTCTTCTTAGTCAAGGTCTATTCTAGTATTCAATCACTCCTTTGGTTTTTGGGTTTCCACAGCTGCACATTGTGTAACCTGATCCAATACAACCTGGATACAATTCAATTGGTTATGTGATTTTATGGTGCAGTGTAGGTCCAGTTCACCGAGGGAAGACTATTTGATCCACAGAGGTGCAACAAGAATGTGCTGTTAAGGAAAATCAAGTGTTTTGGGAGGAGAGACAATTGCAATGATGCTGTCTTTTCCTATAGCTTCTATTCATCTTTCCGATGAATGTATCTTCTATGAAATGTCCTATAGAGAGATTGAACCTGTTCCCCTGTCTTTGCATCTGTCACAAACAGTTCAAAGTATTTACCCAGAAAAAATATTTTTCACATTTTCTTCATCTAAATTTTGCATCAACAGTAATAGTTCCCAGACGATGAAGCGTAAAGACTTTACTGATCTACTGACCTTTCTTATCTCTCCACAAAACTGATGGTAGTCCACTCAGGGTCAGCTGTACCTTGTGTTTAGGGCTATTTAAAGTGTTACGGTGGTCAGTGGAAGCTGCCGTGTGAGCCTTGCCATCATGAGCATGTTATGATGAGAGAGGAAATCTCTGGTTTTGCTATTGATCCCATGTCGCTGCTTCAAATAATTCCGTTAATACACAGAGGATGTTGAAGTTTATCTTTGCCAGATTGAAGGCTTAATCAAAGTGTTACGCTCGTGCTGTGAGTTATGTAAATAATAACTCACACAGGAAATAATCCACCATTTTAAAGTGCTAAGAACTGTGGATGAAAAATGCCCTGTGCACTATATTAATTGATCCCAGAGGATTTGTGGAAGAGAGCTTTGACTCTTTACAGACCTGGGATTTATTGTTGAGATAAGGGTCTCCCACATTGCATGAGGTAATAGCGGAGAAGAGCAGCTGTTATTTGCCAGTGCGCATCTATTGCTTTGTCCTCCACAGATTGAACCGGGTACCGTGAGGGTTGTTAAATAGTTAATTGAGTTTTAATCCCCATCAATAGTGAAAATAGACTAGTAAGGCTGTTAGACACAAATGATCAGTCCTAATAAATAACTTAATTGAGGTTTGCATGTGAGAATACGTGTGTGTGTGGATTTATAACCACGTTTCAGGGGGAAACGTGGCATTTATCAGACTTTTTGGGGCCGTCACTAACTCATGTCAAGAAGTGCATCCACCAGCTGCTGCTTTGGCCGCTGTCCAAAACAAAGCAACCACCAAGTTTGTCCCTCGTCTGGCAATGTTTTTAAGGCTTAACCCATCAATAACGTTTGACTACCCACCACAATTAGGAATCTTCGCCATGGTTAATTTCCCTCTCCTACACATTAGTTCAGTGAGGTTTGTCAATTTTGGGGTTCTCAGTTCCCCCCTTTTGCCCAGGAAATGATGGTTAAAATAGCAATAGGCACAAAATGTAAATCTAATGGACCGACCAGTTACTGACTGATTACTGGAGATAAATCCCACGCTCCCAATCTCAGGCACAGTTACCGTTCGGCCTGCCTCTGTTGTAATGTCCTGCTTTGTCTTATTTTGTGTGGAGCGGCTCAGGTGCGGCTAAGCACACAATCGTGATTTAGCACTTCTCCGGCTGCCAGGTGTTCATTTCACTAACAATAGGGCTGCGACGTCATTGTGCAACGGGCCAGCTCCATCCTCTCATCGCAAATTGGAAAGCGGGGCCCAGTCACTGCCTCGCTTCCGAGTCTGACTTGTAAATAGTCTTTTTATTTAAGGACTCCTCTTTGTCTCGCTAATCAAAGATGCCTCTTGTTTGAAATGCGGGCCGAATGATACGGGATGGGGTGATGGATAGGAGAGATGGATGGCAGAGAGGATAGGTGAAGGTATACAGAGAAAGGGTTCCTGTTTAATTCATGGATTCCGTTTTGATAGGGGCTTGGAACAGCTGGGGTTTTGGTTGTTTGCTCCATTCTGTTTTTTTTTGTTGTTGTTGTTGCAGTATCAATCCAGTGACAAAAACAAAGACATCGCAAAGGCTCGAGTTCAGTGATTTATTGTCGGTAACACACATTGATGGACATCCCATATTGGCGGCAACATTTGACTGAAGCTATAGAGAGAATACGCACACACCTGTGTTGCCATAATGCACACAATAGGCAGACAGGAGAATGCAGTTTGATGGGGATTCTGCACTTATAGGGTTCTGCATCTGTTGCTGACGGTATACGTTCACAATGGATTTGAAGAAAAATGTAATTCACAAACACGCTTTGACAAACGAAACGCCAAATGAAAATGCACGACAGGTTTGACAGCCATCAACCATCTGTGCGAATCGGCAGGAGGACTTATTGGAAATGAGAACACACAAAAAATATACCGCTCGATACAGGAGGCAAAGAAACGGAAATACCCGACAAGGTTGGATAGATTACTTGACCGTAAATTCGTATTTCTGAGAATCAAGGCGTCTCACTCAGGAGTGAGGTTGCTCTACTTGTCAAACACATCTCCCTCTTTGTTCTGTTAATGCCAATGACACCACAGGGGGAAGATAACAACTCCGTAACAGCAAGGTTGGTGTACTTATACGGACACTCAGGAATAATTCACTGCGTCGGTAAATTGTCCCTTACCAGATTGTGCTAAATTTAAGTGGAAAGGTTCTCCGGAGGTGCTTCAACGTTGGTCAGGTTCAATTAAACAGCTGGAAAAAAACACAATAAACACTAGAATGATGTTTTTGCCAGCAGATTTGTGTTTCCATAATAAGAATGGACTTTTAATTGCCAATTAAAAGTATAAGTAGAACTTTGCTGACAATCCGCATTCAAAAGGACTAATAGTGATCAGTAGAATTTAGTTTTCATTCTGAGAGAGCTGTCTGGAGCTACTTTTCTCTGCATGACCTCGCAGCGGTGTTTCAGCAATTTCTCTAAAATACAATAGATAGAATTTTTGACACCTTCAGACCGCACCGGGCTTCTGTTTCCTGTTTTAATGCCGAGCTAAGCTGATCCTTTACATTCATGAATCAGCTTAGCTTTCAAGGTAAGCTGTATCGTTTTCTGTTTTTTCTCATCATTTGTTTTTAAAGGTTGAGTAATTACTGATTCATTATCAACCGGCCTGATTAGAGGAAAGTGGTCTGTCATTACGTCTCTTCGGACCCCATGAATCCCAGTTTAATGTATGTCTATGAAAGAGAGATGGTTAGGAATTCAAAAACTGTTGTACTGACCATATTTATATGGTAAAATATCGAACTATGAATTGTTTGTGGGGATTCAGAATTACAAGGCGTCTCAGTAAAAGCTTTCTTTGCAAGGACTCCATGGAGTCCATTTCTGTCCCGCTATTGGAAATGTGTGCACTAGTCTTCAGTGAAAGAAAGAAATGGAAATTGGCGGCCTGAAGAATTCCTGTTGCAACACCTTCTTGGCTCCAAATTGGTCCGATACCATGCTCTGAATATAACTTCACAAGAGTGGAGCCACACAGAGGGTTAACCCCTAAGGGGGAGAGGTGGAAAATGGGAGGTTTGACAGTTGTTAAAATTAGACGTAATGTTTCCTTTGTATTTGTATGATTTATATGTGTTCCCATCAATCATGACTTGTTCATGTTTAAACCGAACTTAACCCTAGCAAAGGGGCTATCGATCCACTACAATTGATGGCCTGAGTTTCTGAATGACTGCAGATGTCTGGGAGCATACAGCATGTTGAATGATCACCGGCAGTCAAGCATCTCACCAATAAAAAATAAAATCTCAAAAAATCCTGAGCAACTTCCAAAGAGCGAATCCCTTTCTTCATCAAACAATTTCGCATCAACATGTTTAGTGCATGTGTGTGTGTGTGTGTGTGTGTGTGTGAAGGAGATTCAAGAATTTTCTTTGATTTCATGTAGACGTTGAGTGACATAATGTGCTTTACACTAGGGGGAGACAAAGACCCTCCATTGATGGATACGCATTGTGACTTGCAGATTACATGAATTATGATTCAAGGTAATATTTAATGATGGAAGGTTGAAAAGAAAAGCTGCAACTCTTTTCAGGCAAAAACATATGTCTACGCATTAAATACATAGCGCCTTGCATGTATTGTACAATGTGTTTGCCGACTGCTTTGCTATGTGAATGGGATATAAACGCCCCTGTTACCTTAACATTTACTAACATCTTTTACCATTTGGGTCAATTTGATCCAAATTGATCTCAGAAATGTACACCTCCAGAAAATGATCATTATTCAAATTGTTCCCCAAGTTCATGTGTTAGGAGCTTTGTGCTTGTTTGTTGACAATCTAATCACATGCTATGTCACTGCTGACATAGCATGTGATTAGATTCCATTCCATTATTGAGCAAAATAATTACTACCGATTGTATTTATTGTTAAGGCTAATTCACACTTTTGGTTTGATATGATACTAGAGTACAGAGGGCAGTTGGGGCGCATATTGATAGAATGTAGGCCATTTTATTGGGTTATATCCTTGGGGAGGTACACTTTTATTATGCATCGCAAAGCCGTAATTCTGTTCATACTGTTGCAGAGTTTATGGAATGTGTTGCAGAATCTGTGGCCACTTGATTGATGGATAACGGTTTCACTTTTTACATGAACAATTTGCTATTCAGACAATTTATCTGGCCTTGGTAGGTATTTCTTCTGTCTATTAAGCCTCTATTAGTGAAGCACGCTGGGGGACTGGTGTCTTCTGTATATATTTTATGCATGGTAAGTAATAAACCAACTCACATAGTAATTTCTTTCTCAGGCAATCTACCTCACTATAGGCATGCCTGGGTTGCTATAACAACAGCTGCTGCTATATCCGTCTCTGCTGTGGGTCACGGCTAGTTAAAAGTGCAATGTACATCACCTCCCTTTGACAGTTCCCCTTTATCTTTGTTCCTGCTTTTCTGCACCAGCTCTGCTTCCGCCAAATAACCCTATGCTTTGTTTCAGCTTTATTAGACAGACAATAAAAAGCAAATGAAAATTGAAATGCTTATTCGTTAGCTGTTTTTCTGCACTAATGGGAGCTGGAAACAACAGTTCCTTATTGTGTTGTTTTCGAGCCCATGTCTTACATTTCATTAGCACTAGAGCCAAAGATAATAAGAAGAACATAAGACAGATGGTGCTGAAAGTAGATATTGTATTTTCCTCTCAACATCCAAGTGGACTCAATTGCTGCGTAATTCCAATAACATCTGCACTTACAATTAAACATTAGTAAGTCAGAACTTTTCAGTAAACAGTGCTTCAACACAAAAGCATTGCATTTAATAGTTCAATAGGAGCTCACGCACACATTTTTTGGATGAAATAATATGCACATTTCTATACAGCTGCACGCACATTTCATCTCAATAGCAATGCTGTTATAGAACACCAGCCACAGTTTAAGTAAGACTTAACCTCGATTTAATTCGACGTCAGTACTGAACACATGTAACATTTTTATACCTAACGACCTCTAGAGGAATTTAGATTGACTCACATAGATTCACCAAATACAATACAAATATCTCTATTGTTCCATTACATTGCGGTTTCACCGATGCACACAGTACAACAGCGACAATTGCACATTCATACAGTATAAACGCTCCATCCACTGTCGTAAAAAGACGTTGGCGAGAACGAATAAAATCCAGGCACGGCCTATAAATTGTAATGATACAAAATTAACTTAACGAGAACTGCAGAGTCTGTACACAAGTTGTATATAACAGCCAAGAGGACAGTTTCTTTCATTGGATCATTTCTCTTGTTTTGAGGTTATAAGTCCCAGTGGCACCACTAACTACTGAGAACAAAGTCGACGGCAAAGCACAGACGACATTTATCTGATAATATTGTGCAGGGCACTGATATTTGTGTTCTTTAACCTGCTGCATTTGACAAAACAATTCATGTAAGATGCCTGGTATGAAAGTTAAAGAAATAAGAGTACATTAGGAGAAAAAGCAGCACTTTTTGGGCCAGATTCCCATGGCTGTTTGGGAGTGATGAAACCTTCCAAGTGGCTCCGTCCAGCTTGTGGACTCTTTGCCTTCTGCTGTCGTCCAAGTTCCATCGTGATTGGTTAATATCTAAAGAGAGCAGAGAAGTTCAATCATACTCAACAATTAAATGATTTATGCGTAAAAACAAACAATGGTAAATTGCACACTGCGAAATGAAACAATATGCAAAGTCAACATCAACAGGAAATTAACATAAACAACTGTGTCCTTTAGGGTTATTATAACTCTGGAACCCTACTTCATATGCATGCTAATGCTGTACAATTCAGATTACTAACATGTATTAACTTTATATGCACTGAGGAGTGTTTTTTATTGCATGTACTTGTCATGATTTATATTGAACTATGTACACTGAATGGAGAGAGAACAAATAGTGAGGTAGTGATCAGGAGACATTTCCAAAAGTGGCAAAGGGAACAATCAAGAGGACACACACAGAGGGTGCTGATGCAACAGGACTTGCAAAGTTTCACATGAGTTATGAATCTAAAAGAGAAGGAAACTGTAAATTGAGAGAGAAAGAGAGGGATGATTTCACTGATCGGGATCAGATTGAGAGATTCACATGTAAAATACCGTGTCACTGACAACAGCTTTTATTCGGTAACAGGAGCGGCTGGGTTGTCCTTCTGCTCAGAAGGGATGGCTAGGTAGTTTGTCCTGCAGGCGGATCGGTATAAAAACAGAAACAGCTTTCTAAGACCTGGTGGTGGGACACTTTCCATCCCCAAATACTTCAAAATAGTGCAGATTAATGTTTGAACAGTGGTTTAACGGCTCGCTGTTTCCTTGTGGGACTGTGGACATTCTTTGGGGGGCTTGTTATCATCAGAAAGAAACAAAAACCTCATATAGTAACATGAATTATGTTCCCATTTCAATAGAGAAAGTCAAATCCATTATAGTTAAAACGATTTTCTACCTCTGTCAGTTTATTTAAAACGGAGCCTTAATCCCGCAAGTCTTTCCCAGGTTGCGTTTTATCTTTCCTTTCAGTAACATTGCAAAATGTAACCTCAGAATGTTTCGGTAGCCCACATAACCTTTAAGCCTGAGTAGCTGAGAAGCCCACAAGACGGCCTTTTCGAGTGGGTGGTGTTTCTCACCGTGAGACGAGCGTGTCATACTGGTCAATAACAGCCACCTTTATTTTCAAATGACCTTTTATTTAGCAATTTATGTATGTAACTAATTGATTTCATGCGGCTTTCATTTCTGATTCATTGATGGCTCATTTTATTTTCTCTATTAATTGTCTGAAAACACTGAAACTGATCATAATGTCTTAGAGCCCTGCCAAATCTTTAATATAGAAAGTATTCACATACATATAAATATTAAAAACGTAAAAATATTCATGTAATGGTCATATTTTCGCATTGTATTTTGTCAATTTGTGTAATGCCTAATTTTAAAAGTCTGCATCAAACAGTGTTTCTGGGTAACTAATGCTCTTCCCAGAATTAACGATAAGATATTTGTTGTTTTCCTCTTAGGTTGTGTTGTGTCCAACCCCTGTTAATCTGTAAAAATAGATTTGGAATCAGGATTAATCACCCTCAAAACTACATTAACTGGATAAGCACATGTGCTCTGTGATTTTTCTGGTTGGGACATAAATTGCCTGTTCAAAGTTGTCAACCTGGATTGACTGGCCTCGTCAACGCCATGGCAACCCGGTGACTATACAGCCGCACTTGAGTCTTTTGTCAGTGCTGACAAGCTGCAACTGAAAATGATTCTGATAGAGCTGCAAATCCAACGCTGATGTAAAAAGGCTGTTTGGAAAAAACAGCAGTCAGCAGTGCTTAGAATTATTCAGGCCTGTCAGGTAGTCCAAGTGAAAAGACAGATTATCGCAGCGGGTTAATACAAACTGATGCAGTGTTGACTCAATTATCTTTTTGTTTGTTTGTCTGTCGGGTTCTTCCCCTGGACGTTTTTTGTCACTGTTTGCCTCCATAATTTCTCGTTCAGACCTGTTTCTAAATGATTATTAATATGTAAGGACCAGACCCACACACATCGTCTTGGTGACCCATCCCACGCACCCAGTTGCGCTGCAGTTGCACTTTTTTTTCCCAATGATCTGCTCTCTTTTGCGCCGAAGCTCTCGCTTGTCTCTGCTTACATCTACACTATTGTGTCTGTGGGAGACTCACGCTGTGTCCAGTGCCTGCTCATCTGACTTGGAAATCTTCCTGTAGCAGTAGACCATCTCTACCAGCAGCCAGAAGGTCAAGCAGACGAGCAGCACATACATCATGATCTCAGAGTAGAGCGCCGCGGCATCTCCAGTGGCTGTGGAGCACACACACAATAGCAGGGAACATGTATTATCCGGTATGCAGCCACCTATGAACGTCTCTGCGTGGGAGAGACTTTCTATGTACATGATATTTAAGTAATTGTTAAGCTTGTTCATGTACGTGCAACACTGCTCACCTACAACTCTCAGTCAGTAAAGAGAAGGCAATAGTTCTATGGTAAAAGTTGTGTCCAACTCAATGGGTGCACTATTATTACAATGCAGCAGTGGGGATCCTGTTTGAGACTTTTAAAAATGATGCACAAACTATGTTGCATACAGACGATTATGGCAGTGCCTGTGGTAGAATGATAACAGAAGGAGTTAAAGGTGGCTTGTGGAGTTTTCTTATCAGTAAACAAAAACTATGTTAGAATTTTTTTTCCCCCGAATACATTATTTATATCCTTACGGTTAAGCAGAGGTGTTGTGTTCATTTCCTTTAATGCAGGAATGGTAAAGGATCTAATCTTATCTTCAACAAAAAACATTTGTAGAGCCAATTGCTTTTTCTAAATGCTTTAAATCGGGCATTGTTTACATCCAACCTCTTCTTATTGCTGCTTTTTTCCCTGCATCGCCACAGTTGTTGTCATTCATCTCTCCGTTGTTAGCATTCAACTGTTCACTGGTAGAGTAGTGTGAAAAGAAAGGGCAGGATGCATGTGTGTCCTTATGTTATGGCCGTATGAACCAGACAAACCGAAAAAACAATGTTCCAGACAGCTGCTAGGACCTCCACAGGGTACCTCTAAATGTCAAATATGATAGATATGCACAGTCACAATGGTTCTCGTGGCATTAAACACCTCAAACGTAGGTCATACTTTTAAAGTACACAAATGTAAGACATATTTCATATGATTCAATAAATGATATAATTAAATTTACTTTACTTGAAAGGGAATATGTTTGTATTTTTTAAAACACTACTCTGATGTCCTTATGGACAGAAACCTTCAGTTTAAGTGATGGTGGACAAAATTGTCAGTCAGTATTTATGAAGTTATTATGAGGCTTGAGCTGTATTGTTTTTCATATTAAGCAGATATCTGCCATAGTTACACTGCTTTTAGTGCAGATGTCCCTCTTTTTATTTCAAACAAAAAAGAACACTGAATTAAGATAAACTCATTTCTATTTTGTTATTTTAGGACTGTGGATTGTCTCCATCACTTAAATTTGATTACAAACATTTTTTGGAATTACGGAAATTTAAATGAGGAATGATTCAAGCAAATGCCAAGCTGACTTGGAAAACATCGGAACCTATCCTTTAACATCTTTCATTGCAGGATCATTATGAGCCATTGTGAACCACTGTGCCAGTGAGTGTGTACCAAATTCCAAAAAGCCTGCTGACCAGACAGTTAAAAGCATTCACTGATTTGATTGTTCGCTGACTGCAAATAGAGGCGATTACTGTAACATAATACCTTCGCTGGAATGTTTGCCGTAACTTAATCCATTCCGCTATATGCTATGAACATTGTTGCCGTAACACGATTCCTGCAATGTACAGCATACACTGGCTGGTGGCTTTCATGAAATTTGGTCCGACGTCTATGAGATGTGAATGAGAGGCTTAATATTTATAAATGATCAAACTGTGGTATATTTTGGATAGTTGCACTTCAGAAGAAAATTATGTTCAATTTTCACTCTTTCTTTTTCCATTTAAAATCCAAACACTGAGATACAGCTTGGCCTGGTCTATGTTTAAATGCCTCTGATAGTGAACTATATACCACATGCAAGCACTTTTATATATAAGATATTTTCTAAAGGTTATTCCAAATATACATGTTGTATTGTATATTCGATAAAAGTGGAGAATGGCACATTCAGCAAGCCAAGCATTCGGGAAGCAGAATACGTTACCCCTCATCATAGATAGCAAAGAAGTTGGTTTGAATTAACCCCTTCAATGACAACAGAAGAAAGCTTTGATGAACACTAAAGGCAGACAGAACAAAATGCACCATTATTACTACTAAGTACAGAGGACAACGAGGACAGAAGGAAAGTGGTGTTGTTAGTGCCCTAACACTGATGCATCGCTTAGTGAAAACGTTGAAAGTAGGAAATATATAATAAAATGACAAACCCTCTTTAAGTAGTTACATGAACAATGTATGCGGCAGCAAAGGAAGGGCTCGTACACCACAAAGAGAACACTCTTTGTACCAGGAGGGATTGTTAATTAACACGCCTGAGCTAAAACCTCTTTAACATATTGTGTGTGCAGCTGTGTGCTCCTGCTTATCTTTCTCCTCCTCCTCCTTATCATCATCCTCATTAGCATCATGTTTGTGTTAGAATGTGAAATAGTGCTGGGAATTCATCAGTTACGCCATCCTGCATTTCAGAAACCAGCTCTTTTGCTTAAATCTATTTCAGTTCTTCTTCAGAAGAATTGGTTAAACACAAATCGGCTCTAATGATAGTTAAAACAAGCAGAAAAAGATATTGCACACAGATTATTCTTATATTTAAGCTAGTCTGCGTGTGCAGCCGAGACGGCTAAACCAATGCTGCCTTTTGGAGGGCTTTTAAAGGCTAAATATGATAAATACATCCATTCAGGGCTGTAATACCCATTTGTGATTCAATAGATTAAATAGATTTGATTACTTCAGCACCTGTGGACAGAAGCGGACGTGTTTCTAAATACCAGATTACAAATTGATAGTCATATTGGAGTTGTGGAACTATTAGCCAAACCTTTTGCTTTCACAGTCAGCTTGATTTCCTTGGTGAGGGAGACGGAGGGTTTGAAGGAGTCAAACTCAAACTGGCGATGGACGACGCATTCGTAAATGCCTCGGTCACCGTAGGTGACGTTGATGATTCGAATGGAGACATCTTGCAAATCCTGGCTCCCATTCCATTCCAGACGGCCTTTAAACGGCCCATCCGATTCAACTGGACTATCAACATCATACTTGTATATCTTGAAGAGAAAAAAAACAAGCAGGCATGCATAAAATATATTCACTACCATACAATGTAGTAAGAACACATACAGCGTATATTTGATAGACAATGATTTAGCAGGGACCTACATGGGTTTTGTTAGGCGGAGCGTCCTTTTCTTTGTTTGGCATGTAGTACCAATCCACATGTGTCTTTGATTTGATCTCATCCCTCTTTATACAAGATATGCAGGTCAACTTCATGGATTTCCCCAGCACCGCATCGGTCTCCGACGGGATATCGACACATACCGGCCGGCTCGGGTGGACTGGAAGAGCATTTACATGCAGACAGCATAATTAAAGCACAGCCAAAGATGTTGAAGTCCCTTTCCAGAGTGTTTCCTTTTTGTTCACAAGTGTTTGACCTTCACGGTGCAGAAAGATACAAGGTTTGAGGCTATTTCATTTCTACCTTCTACCTGCCGAAAATGCGTCTGTGCTCATCATAAATTGAGCGATAAAAAGAGTTTAGAGTTTAAGTGCAGGGTGACTACTGGTTCAGGAGCCCGTCTTGGTCTAGCCAGCAACTTTTGAAATGACTGGATCACAACTTTCCTGATTGTGTAGCTCCAACAACCAGTAAAGTCGCAGTCTACATCTCTGTGTAGAAATTCATCATGATTTTACATCAGACATTTGTGTACAATTTTCAAATATTCATATGACTTTTTGCGTTACGTCCAAAGATGTGTTTTATGAGGTCACAGAGTCCTTTGATCAATATATTCTAATCAATTACTCTTTGAATTCAATGGGATGTTTTTCCCCAGATTTGAGATTTTGGTTAAATTTGGAGAGGGGTAACTAATAGGTGTAATTTCTCAGTATTTTAAACATGTTCATTGTTCTTATTTTGTGGAAAAACTATGTCGGGAACAAAGGAACAAACTCAAGCAGCTTTTCAACAGGAGCCTTTCAAAGTTACTGTGCTCAAAGGCGGCACAATGAGTAATTTTCTGCAAATTGTATCAAGAGAACAACGATCGATCGATGGATGAATAAAAGCATTGCAAGGGATGGACTAATTAGAGGAAGGCAGGTAGTGCAGGGGAAGAGGGGACGGGATTATAACAAATGATTGTGAGCCATGTCAGTGAGCTGTCCACATGGCTGTCTGTGTGTGTGCTGCTGTATCTGCTCCGGTGCTCTTACATAACCCGAGTCCCTCAGGGCGGACAGTGACAACATCAATTCCATCTCATCTCATCGGGGTTTTTTTCTTTTTTTTGGACTCTGGGCTTATACAAATACGCATGGAAATAGGACAGAGTAAAAATTAAAAATAGCCTCTGTTCAATAGATTGGCTTATTTAAAATGCTAATAGAACCGAGCTGTGTTGCACTCGGGGTCAGTGAAGCTGCTCCGACAAGTTCACAAGTTCAAAAACACATGATTATATGTGACCCCCCCAAAATCTGTTGCAATAGGAAATGAAACGCCCACGATCAAACAGATACATGTTGTACTTGTATGCGTGTATACTTACCAACGAAACACAAAAGCACCAAAGTTTGCAGAGGAACTCTGGTCGGCGTTACCATATTAGGCTCTTCCCGGGGCCGCTGGCAGACGGTGTCCCTTCCAGCTGTTGTCTTTTGGGGGAAACCCTGAAGTTGTGGGAATAGCAGGAGTTGTGGAGAGGACTTCAGGACCACGGACAGCGCCGCTCTTCGGCGGATGAGCGCGCGAGGCAACTTTGGTCTTCAAGAGTAAAAACCCTTTACTCCTTCAGAGGCCCGTCGAGACTTGCGGAATCGAGCCTGCGGGAGATCTGCTCGCTCGGTTAAATTCGAGTCGTCCCAAAAAAAAAAAAATCAAGAAAACACCAACTTCATCAATAAACAGGCCCACGGGGCATCGGGACAACAGACCTGCTGCTGCTGCTGCTCTATTTCAGCTCCAGAAGCACAGAAGTAGAATAAAAATAAACCGAGCGAAGAGGAAGAACCTGTGGATTCTCAAAAGCCGATTGAGTGCCGCGAGGTTGTAGAGTCTTGTTTACGCAAAGAGCAACATTAAAAAAAAATAGCACTTCTGTTATTTCACTCCTCAAAGAACGACTAAATGGGCTGTTTGAAGTATTCTTCTTCCAGCAAGGATGAATGACAACATTCCCACGCCGCGGATCGCTGCCTGTGTTTTTGCAGGAGTCACTTAGCGCTGGTGGAGCGGAGGCTTTGGTGCGCATGCGTGAGTTACTCCCTCCTACACTACAACGTGCACGTCCTTATTACCGTCACACGCGTCGGCCTGAGCTATCGATCATGCACGCCCGTTTACATCCGCTTTCCTTTTAACTGAAGAAACATAAAACAGCGCGTCATTCTGTCAAGTGAAAACCAGTTATAGGGCTAGTTGACAAACCTACAAACAGATTTCAGTGGTAGTTGAAACAGCCTGTTCTTGTTTAGTGCTTTGATGAGAGGATGCAGAGTTGAAGGTCTTCAATGACATTGCATCCTCAGATTTACCATGTGGTTTAAGATTAATAAAATGCACACATAGACATTGTAAAAAAAAATCCTGTAAATGTTAAGCACACATATAGACTGACGGTATCTGTGGTACCACTATGAAGCAGATAAAGCACAGTGCCAGACTCGACGTTTTCTAAGGATCTGTGTATATTCCAATTAGAATTGCCTTCTCCTTAATAATTGAAGGGACAAACTAAGCTCAGTGCAATGGGTGTGAAGGATAATTGTTTCAACAAATGTTTTTACAAAGAGTAACTGAAGGAGGGAATAACCCTCATTTATTTTAAATCCCACGAACCCAAACTGCACCAGAAAAGGAGTAAAATGAATGCTGAACAGAGTAATTGCATCATATTTTGTGTTTCTCACTAAAGACTAAAGTGATATGATTCCCTTGTAAAATTTGAATGATGTGATGGTGATGCAATAAATTGGCAGGGAATTGAATCCACGGGCATATCTATCTCTTTCTCCCATCTTCCTCTGTCGCCTGCACTATAACCAACATGAATACAAAAATAGATTTCATGACTATATCTTTTGGAAAATCTACATCTACATTTTTGGGGGCTGGGGGTTAAATATTATTGAAAAAAATCGGTACGTATTACTGATTATACAATGGTAACATATTTCAGTTTACTCTGTTTCTGATTTTCTTCTCACAGGAACAAGGATACAGCATTTAGGCCTGAAAGAGAAACAAGATTTTCACTGTAGCATTACAGTATTTAATTTCGCCTGTATTGTATCTGGAGTAAGGACAGGATTACTGAGAATGTGGATAAAGGATTTGAGATTCACAGAAATATCTAAAGGCATTACCTATTATTTATTTTCTCTTAGCAACAAGATGAGTAGGACACGATTCCATGAATGTATTTTTATATTACTTAAACTTGTCCATATATAAGTACAAGTGTGAAAGTGTTACACGAAGGAAGTTACATATATATATATATATATCTATATATATATATATATATAGATATATATATGACATATATATATATATGACATATATATATATATGCACAATAATGTATGAGAAGATGCTTAGTAGTTGTTGGAGCAGATTTTCATGTAAAAAGGACAGCAAAGAGGCAGCTGAGTGCACTCTTGTGTTGTTGTCAGCATTAGCAGTAGGCCAGCTCTCTGAGAAGCAGACTAAATATGGCAGGCTTGGATGAACCACATCCTGCAGATAAGGAAACCATAGAAACAGTAATGCAGTGCCATGGTGACGAGAGACCTCCTTAGCGACAGACCACAGGCTTAAAACAGGAAGGCTCAAACGCAGCTCTATATTTTTTAAGAGCTTAATGTTTTGACTTAGTCATAAAAGAAAATCCTCTCAAAGAAAATGATTTAACATATGTATTAAATCATGTGCTTTTACACTCTGTGTTTTTCTGTGTGCAGCTCAAAGGGGTTTCACAGCAGGTGATGAATGAAGCACTTTTGCGTATTTTATGGTAAATGCATCCCAAAAAAGGGTGCATCAATTCCAAGACTGGAGAGCAAGAAAACAGCATTCACCAGCAGTTGACACATGAGCGTGTGTTAGTGAGAGCATGTATGTATACATACGCGTGTGCATGTGTACAGGGCCAGTTTTGGGTCAGAGGAGAGCAGATTTCTAGGGATTTGGAAGGATTTCAAGATTATAACATGATTACGGCAGACTGCCGTGGATGAAACATGTTGGAAACTGAGATGTAAATCTTGTGGGGGTTTGCTAGAAAAAATATATACTGTAACTTAACGTCGGAATTTGGTTTATCTCTACAAGCATCTTTCATATGCATTCTAGATGCATCTGTATCTGTGCAGCACTCTATGCAATTATATAATCCATGTATTGAATTCACAAATGTACACAAAGAAATCTGCTATTCCAATGCAATTAAAAAAAAAGGTTTTGCTGTGTTTATACAACAAAAGACAGCTGATTCTTGACCCACTGTTAGAACTTTAGCATTTAGCATTGTATTAGAGTACATGGCAGACCTCATGGAATATGTTTTGTATTTAATTTGGATATTTTGCAATCGTATACATATAGTATTCAAACATATATACACATACTGTCACACACAAATCACAAAAGACGGTGTCTAAAAATAACACTTGTGTTGAGCCCAACAACTAGAGCAAACATAACGCTGTACCGCTAATGTAGAAACACAGGGCTCAGGAGCCGTGTTATATGATGCCTTGTCTCACCGTGAGGCCAAATCACTAACACATAGCAGCTAATCTAATTGATAAGGCGTATAATCTCAAGGAGTCACTGAACCACACCCCTCGTACGCACACAAACACATACACATACACACACACACAAATCTACAGGGCAATGCCAAATTGCACCTCGGGGGAGTTGTCACAGAGCTCTAAGCTAACACTGATAGTAAGTGAAGACTTGTTCCATCTGACCTTCTGATTTGGCCCGCAGTCCCCTGTAGGAATACTCACTTTCTATTAAAAGAACCAGAACCCTGTGCGTCAGACAAACCGAGGAACCCGAGTGAGGAAGGAAGCATAGACCTTTCCAGCAAGATTTTGAATGGAGCTTTGAGATGAAGAAAACGGACAAACATGAAATACTTATGAAGACAGAGGTTGTCACCGCTACAAAAGGGAGAAGTGTTTGTGAGTAAGAAACAACACAGAAGCACATTTTGAATCTACCGAGTTGAAGATTATCGTCTTCTTTAGAATATGGTAATAAACAGAACACAATAAGTCCTGCCTGAGAATTCAAGATCATACATTATTAAAAACAACACACTTAGCTCTGATTAAACATACAAGAAATTGTATTATTCTGTGCATCAAAACAAACGTGTACCAAAGCCTCCTGCACCCTTGGGATACAGAGACACGACTTCTAGCAGTCTAGTGATGCGTCTGGGTTGTTGCTCTGGACAGTGTCACTCATCAGCTGGTCGGATATACGACTCTCCGGTTTAGAGTTACCGGGACCTCTGCTCTCTGCTCTTTGCTGGCTGTGACTCGTGTCAGATGGAAAACTGTCCGGCCGCTGGCCGCCAAGCGGACCCCAATCAGCTACGCCAGGATAATGGTCGCTCTGCTCCTGCTGAGTGGCGCTGCTGTCGGTTTGCATGCGGCCTCTTGTTCCATTTTTTGACTCGCTGTCACGCTGCTGGCTCTGTCTGATGCGGCCTAATGTCATTTGGAGCTCGTTGAGGCGCTGTGATACATAGGATCTCTTCAGCTCCAGCAGGATCGTTCCATTACGACTGAGACTTGGTATGCTCGTTGGTATTGCCTGCTGCATGAGAATATTAGACAGACAGTTGTATTGTAAATGATATTTGGCAACGAATACATTGAGTAATGCACACAGTCTCAAGCAAAGATTATTTTCATGCATATTGATTCATACATTTTTCTCTTCAGTCACTGCTGAAAAGGAGCAAATGAACGTCTGCACAACGCTTGTATGACCAGATCAAATTGATGTATGAATGTAAAATAAGATTTATATGTATGAAATCCAAATTAAAAATGTATGTCAGCTCGTAGGAAATAAAATACTTTCTCTGAGACCTTCAGAATGCAATTTAATTATCATGCAGATTATTTTCTTGGTTTATGTAACAGTAAGTAAAACGTGCAATGTTCCAGATAATTACCACAGAATGGTTGCCAGCTCCATTTTCTCTCTCCTTTAGCCATGTGCTCATTTGAGCTCTCTTCTGTAGCTGCACGCTCAGCTGCAAGAAAGACTCACTCATTCGGTCAATTTCGTCTTCTATGCAGGACATCTGTAATTGAGGATACGGTGAAGTAACAGTCGTTGTACCGGGAATTAAGTGACTATGTGACTATCTACTACTTTAATTAAGATCATTTATGATTTATAAGTGATTGATACCTGCATTGGTGTCCCTTTTGGTGGCAAACCTGCTGACGATGAAAAAAGACTTTAGATTCTCCACAATAAATACCTTCGGTGAAGGTCTCAACGGAACCCGTTGATTGAAAAAACAGTAATTATTAAATAGAGTGTAACAGTTTCTGGACCCAATGGTTTGGGTTGATTAGTATGTGGCATTTACCTTTATTTTTTACATTGCGTGGATAGTTGTGGTCAAAGCAATTGTTACTGTATAATACCCTAACTTTCTATCTCTTACCTGTGTTTGTGTCCTCAGTTGAAATCTGTTTGAGGTTTGTCATAAGCTGTTTCTGAAGCCTAAATTAGAGAACAGGTAGAATATAAAATATTTATTTACATGATTTTCTTTGAATGGCATACTATTTTCTATTTCTTACCAACCTGCAAGCTAAAAGGTGTTCGGTAAACTGTGGTTCAGTGGGAATTCTAGTGTTGAGAAACTCTTCCACTAATGCACTATGCTGCCCCTCTGAAGCGTTGGAATTTGACTGAAAAAAAGCATCAAGGATTATCTACCCCTGCAGTAAAAGGATGATGTTTGAAGCTCATATAGCACCTCACCCCTGGTGTGTTCCATTTGAAAGAAACGTTGAACAGCTGAAGGCTTAAAGCTGATATTGCCTCATGAAGGGCTTCCATGAAACTCAGAGGTTTGGATCCTGGATGAAAAATATAGGAAGGAAGATAAATATCATATCCATACAAAAAGGGTTACTTTGTGCTTTATTGCTATTGTACTGTGTTACACAAATGATGCCAAACAATGGCACAATATTGGGTGTCAGGGGCCTCTTCTATAACTCTGTCTTATTACCTGACACTATGTAGGCCATGGACTGCAGAATGAGGGCGATGAAATGTCCAACGTGATGAAGCTTTTCCTCTGACAGATAAAGGATTTGATTGGATGCATCAAAATAAAAGTCCCTTGAACAATGTGTCAGCAGACCCTCATTTGGGGAAGATAAAGGAACAGGTATCGACTTGGCCATTAGGAGAAGCACAGGGGGGAACAGGTGGCTGTTCGCAAGCAACTGCATCACCTGGCAACCGAACAGGAAGACGGCTGAGTGTTGCACGGAGAGGTTGTCGAGGGCAGTCGGGATAAGTTGCCCTTCATTGTTTTCCTGGACAGACTGTTCTGTAGCTGCTGGGAGAAAAGGAAAAAACTTGATATTTGACATAATTTGTTTTTGCAATCATTGTGGGTTTTACTTTTGAGTTATTTAATCATGTTTATGCACCAATGTGAGGCTGACGGTTAGACTCCTCTGTGGTGAGTTTCTGTAAAGACTGTTGGATCTCGTGCAGGGTCTTGAACAGAGGAGATGTACTGACCAGTCTGGACAAGTCGTGGTCACTGAAACAGGACTCTGTGCTCGGTAGATGTACTGGGGAAGAAAGAATCATCTCATTGGGCTGATTCGTCGATCACTGATTCTTCGAGACTTGAAAAGTTCCGTACCTGGCTCTGCTTTGATCACATTCGCTGACGAAAACTTTGGACATAAATTGAAGGAAGGAGTCATTCTCCTCTTAATTATTCCAAGATGAGCATGCTACAGACAACAAGTTACATTACAGTACCTGTGTATAACACATGTTGTCACCAGATTGTCTGTATCCAGCTCGTGGTTCACATTCCCTGGCATCACGAGGACCAATGTGACAGTATGGAGGGGCGGCTAAATCCTGGTTCTGCCAAGCTTCTCCCGCCAGCTTGCAGAGAAGAGCTTCTACTGACTGGAGTACATCTCCTAGTAATGCTGTAGAGGTCTCAACTGTGTTGAGGAGGTTATCAGAGAATTGAAAGAAAAACATTAGATAACCAATGTGACATTTTTTAAACCACAATAAGGGTTGATTTAAGGGTTGATATGAGCCTTTAGGGCCAAAGAAAGTAGTTGAACACTTGTGTGTGTTATCCTACATTATGTAGGATATATTATGTGACAGGACATAAAGGAATAGACTGATATATTGGGAAATGCTTATTTACTTGATTAGCAAAGTATCCTAGCTTAGCTTACAGGCTTGACACAGGGTGAAATAGCTACACTGGTACCATAGTACACCAACCAGCCCTTCTTAAGATCACTCAACAGGTTATACATTTTTTGCTCATTTAAATCTTATTTAATCTGCTAATAACCCACATTGGGACTTAAATAGTCTCTTTGTGCCAAGTTGCGTGAAAAGGCCGCCGCTGTATATTAATCATACAGAGGAAGAGGGATCGATCTTCTTGACAAGAAAGAAAATGAGAATACTTTCAATTAACACACTGTTCATTTAATCACCTTGGGTTTATGATTAGACATTTAAAACGTTTTCTTTATTAATATAATATTGCCTTCCCGTTGACCATGACTTTGACTAAATTAGTTTCTTTACAATAAAATCCAATATCATTATGAACATGCAGCTTCACCTTGTAAATCTCTCCCTCTTGCACTGCAGTCGAATGGTTTATTCTTCATTGCATTATGGACAAGCAGTTCCTTTAGAAAGCTTAGTTTTCTATGATCCATATTGTCTAGGACATTCTGAAAGAAAAATTAATATGTCACATTTTTCAGGAAGTCCTGAGCATTAGGTCAAGAAAGAATTTAGTATAAGCTAAATTCTTTCTTGACCTGATGATTTGATGCCTTTATCTCACCACATCAAATTAAAATCTGAAAAGAATGTTTGATAAAACTCACCTTGAGTGTTTCAGTCTGTTGACAGATGTTTCTATAAAACTCCTGTGTGTCTTTGCGGTGTCGGGCCAGTTGTGAGGCGAAGTGTAAGTTCTGATCCTCCAGTTTGTCAAACAGAGTCTTGACATTCAACTCCTCCAAATCGCAGCGCCCTGGAACATTTCCTAAATGGGGTCAGTAAATGGCAATAATTGGTCAATCAGAAATGTGCCGGGGGAAATGTGTCATTATGCCATCCTTAAGAGCTGGGGAGATACACTCCTGATGATTGGCTGCACCTTGAAATCATATGGTTGATTGAGTGGGCAAAATAAGATTTCAGTCAGGATGGAGCAACTCAACTAGTAATTACAGTGTGGTATTGGCCATTATTTTCATCATCATTAATCTAATGGGGAACAGGCCGTTTACTGCTACCTGGTCATGCGGGATGGTTTTATAATGACTGGGTCAATGGACTTTAAAGGCCCTATCAAGCTGCATGAATAACTTTATATGCACTAAGTGAGCCACATTGAAGACAATTCTACCTTTAACTCCTTTTGCTGGGAAACCTTTGGCCATTTGGCTGACAAGGTGCAGAGTGCAAAGAAACAAACAAACAAAGGCAATGACCCAAATACTATACTTATTGACCGTATTGGTGGAAAAAATATAAAAACGACTGTGTTGATTTAGTTTACTATTAATTAGTTTAGCCATGGCTGTATGGCTATGTAAAGTAGACGGTTGTAGTGCCTACAACACAAGACAGAAATTTCTCAACATTTACTTGATGGATCACCGTGACATTTGCTAGAGGCATCCATGGTTCTTAAAAGATAAATCGGACTGACATTTCATGACATTATCAGATCGAGATTTCATTTTTTCCAGGTGTGAATAACCTGCAAAATGATTCAACATTCCCATCAGCTTAAGCCTCATCTTTACTTTTAGTCTGGTGAGATGAAAAATGACAACATGCAAGACTAAACTGGTGAACATGGTAAACATTGCACCCGTTTAAATCCATTGTGTTGCATCCAAGTACGGCTCCACAACTGTAGACTGGTGTGATGTGTGAACTGCTGTCGTTCCAGCTGAAAGCAGGGTATGCCCTGACATACAGTACATAGACAGATTGACAGTGGATTCATATCCACCAGCAATTACGTTATTCTGCCCCGGAGAGAACAAACGTCACAAAGAAGATCCATCTATCCCAGGAGCCATGCCCCTCTTTTATATATCTATATCTTGATATCTGCATGCAACCTACCCAGCCTGTTTTCCCATGACAGGGTTTATTTGTTTTCACTAGGCCCTTCTCCCTAAAATGAGAGATATTCCACTTTGCACTAGTCCTGCTTATCAAGACCATTCTTCAAGATCCCTTTTTAAAGTTTTCCGGTGCCAAACTTGTGCATTCCTCCACAACACCGTGACTTCCAGACATTACCAGACCGTATTTCCAAAAGGGCTCGATTGACAGCACAAGTGAGCTTACCTCCTTTTGAAACAGCGGGCTCCTCGGCTTCTGCTCCCTCTCCTTCACCTCTACTACCTAGTAAGCCACCTACGCTTGGGACAACTTTGCTGAAACCCAAATACAAAGCCACACACATTTTTTGGTTTTGTGTCCTCTTACAAAGTCTATATCTAGTGGAGAGCTTGACAATGACAATGAGACATTGAGAGAGGAAGGTGACATGAAGCATGTTTCATCAAGATGAACAGTATCAGTACCAGGATAAAACAAACCACCCGTTCTGCCGTCACAACAACTCACTTGTCTTCACTGCAAACACAATCCACCGGACAGAAGGGCTCCCCGAGGCTGCGCCACTTGGGCTTATTCCTCCATTGGGAGACGAGTTTTGCTTTACCGGGTCGCAGAACTATCACGGTGGTGGTCAAAACCACAACGAGAACCAGCAGCAGACCAAGGACCCCTGAACACAGTGAGCATTGTGTCATGATGAATTAGCAAGCAAACTTACAACAGCCATGCACCTATTCAGTGGGACATTGACAGTGAGCAGTGATGGTAAACACCTGCTATCACTCCCCAGTCAGGAAGAAGGTTGAGTCTGTGCTGCTTGATAATCCCGTGCTTCACCAGCTGTGCCGGGGTCATGGGCTGGAAGACGGAGGCCCGAGGGTCACAGACTGTCCCCTGATCACTGACCACCACCACCATACTCCGCTCTGGGACGGTGCTGTCGACAAACGCGTACTTCCCAGCTGCTGAAAACACGTGGGCGAACCTGAAGAAAAGGAGAGGAACACAGATGAGTTTGTGACATAGCAGGGATGCAGTATGAGAAAAATGAGGCTCTAATAGCAGTACAGACTCAACAAACCTTGTAGAGTTCAAGTTGGTCTGCTTCATGAGTATCTGCAGTCGTCTGAAGGCACCAAAGTCCCAACTGGGATTACTGTTAAACAGGTGGTCTTTCTGATACACTGGAAAGTGGCTCCGATGTCGGTCTAACGGATATAAAGTCTAGTTAGAGCAAGTTTAATGTGTTTAAAACACAAAAGGAAAAGCCCTGTCCATTGGGATAGATAAACAGCACAAATGGAAATGAAATCTGCAGTACCAGTGTGGTTGATGGTGAGATGGAAAATGAGCATGTCACCCGAGGACAGACAGACAATGGGGTTGGGGATACGAGGAAGGACAGCTGTGTCAGAAGCATCATAATCCTCGGCATCTTCCATGTCTCTCCTCTTTCTTTGTCTTGTCTTCAGGAGTTTAATCGGTTCTGAGTAGAAGAAAAACAGTAGCTCAAGGTTTAGACAGAAAGTTCCTTTGAAACAATACAAGATCAAGAAATGAAATGGCTGGATTGAAGACGGAAAATACAATTAATCAATGTGACTACTTGGGTCTAGTCACCTGACAGAAAGTTATTGATGAGCTCTTTCTGTGTTGGAATCCAACCAAACACGCCTTCAGGATCAAACTGGATCAAATGGATTTTACCAATACCCTTTGCGTGGATATCTGGTCCTAAAACATCCATCACAGTCTGGGAGCAAACAGAAACAAGCTCAATAAGAAATGCTACTGCAGCAGCAAAGAACAGTACATAAATTAAAGAAATAAAATACAAGATATCAATAACCAACTTCAAGAGACCATCTCTCTCATTGAACTGACAATGCAGCCATTTGCTATTGACAGTGTACACAATATTTGAGAACCAATCACAAGAGATGGCATAATTATCCATAAAGTTATGAATTTAACTGATGCTGAACAGTGCTTTACACAGTGGCTGTGTTTGTTATACTACAGTATGTGCAGTGATATCTGTTTTGGATTTTGGGGCCTTTAAAACACATTTTAATGGGAGTTTTCCATTGCAAAACATGTATTTTATGGTAACATAATGTGCACAATTTTCTGAACATCTTCCCAAACATTTGTTTACTCATATAATGTTAATCCTATGTAAGTATTAGGTAAAAAGAAATCCATTATCTGTAAGGTATGGCCAATCATCATTAGTCAAAGTCCTATTATTACTCCCTTACCCTTGCCCACACCATCTTGTCTCTTTCTTTTAAGCTGAGCAGCAGGTGCCCGTCTGGTGAGATCTGGGCGGAGAGCTGAGGTAGTGTGAAGAGGCAGGACGTGTTGCAAAGCTCTTCAGCGGACACATATCGCTCACACCGGCAGCTGGGGCATCAGCAGCAAGCAGATAAGAGACAAAAAGACAGAGTGAGGGATTTTTAGTGGTAAATTACTTTTCACGGATTTCCTGGGTTGAAAAGTAATAATTATATTCACATGCCCATCGCCACATCCAGAGTTCCTCCATGTTGTCCACAGGTTGTATTGCAGGAGTGGAGGGAAGGTGTCACACACTCCCTGGATGCTGCCAGACGTACCTGACCAGCAGAACACCGTCTGTTCACCTGAAACACACAAACGTACACACACACACACACACACACACACACACACACACACACACACACACACACACACACACACACACACACACAGACCTTTCTGGTTACATCATTATTGATTGAAAAACCATTCACTGATTTTGAAATCTTTTGCAAAAACAAATTATAGAGGAAATCGTCAATCCATTTTTTTTTACATGTTAATCATTTAGTCGTGGTGATTGACTAAAGAGTTCAGATCAGTTATTCACAGGCCTCTGGCAAACTTCAACATGAGACTTTCAGTCAATCAAAATTTCCAGTTGCATTTCTGTAAAAAACACTTGAAAGACATTTTTTATGGATGTGAATATATTTGGTATAGCTGTCAAAAGTGTATTGAGATCATTTAAAATTAAAATGTAATGACAACGGATAGGACCAAATCCATTCATTGTTACTTAACTCTGCTGCCTCATATATAAATAAATTAATTGATGGCAAGAACATCCAACTGACCTCAGGCTGGCAGTCCAATTCACTGTCAGAGGTAGAACTTTTGAAGTCCAGTTCATTGTAGAAGATGAAACCAGTTCTGCACAAACATGAACCATCCGAGTGCTGAAATGCCCGATTCTTACCGATACAGGTGCAAGAAGAAGAACCTGCGGAAACCAGTATGAAATCAAATCATTTCAAATTAATACTTGACTCAATACACATATTCATTATTCAAATACAAGTATTTAATGTGTTATTGAGAAACATCTGATCGGATCGAACCGGCTGTTGAGGTGGAGGAGCTGCCACAGGGGAAGCAGGCCTTCTGAGCAAGCAGGTGGTTGAAGGTGCCAGCTGGACACAGGTGACAGTCACTCAATGTCTCAGCATGAGTAATGTTACCAAAGAAGCCAGGAGGGCAGGCTATTGGTTGGGCGGCTCCCTTTGGACAGCGATACCCAACAGGGCAGGGGGAACTTTTGTAGTCGGTTGTACCTGTGGAATTTAAATATATGCACACATAATTTGGAGGAAGGCAGCGAATAAACATTGTACACATTGGTTTAATTATGGAATTATTCGTGGTGGTAAGCAGAGGACCTGGAGAGCAAAAGTATCCCGGTGGACATGGAAGACATTGCAGGATGGGGGAGAGGTACGGGCGATAGGTGCCCCCCTCACACACACGACAACAGCTGTTTTTGGATCCTCTGAGGTCGCTGGTGTTGATGGGCATAAATCCTCCCTTGCAGGACCTCATGAAGGAGCTGTTTGCTGGACAGTAGTAAGGAAAAGGGCATCTGTGGGGTATGTTAACAGGTTATTTATAAAGCTTTTTTTTTCCATGTCAGTCAAGTATTTTTTCAGCCACATTTCTGTTTCAGGACCTCTCATGCACTCACAGTTGCTTGGGGGTGTTGTAGGTATGAGATCCCTCAGGACAAAGATACCCTTTGGGACAGACTGCAGGCTCATCAGTATGAGGTCCACAGTATGAGCCGGCTCTGCACAGACTCTCCGAGACTGCACCTGGGTTGTGAGTTACCACATGCAGATTTTAATACAACATGCTAATAGTATAAACCGTGTTGATGAACTTACCAGTTGGGCATTGATAGGAGGCCCTGCAGGGGATCCCCTCCACATTCGGCCTCCCTGTTGCTCTCGGATCTGGGCAGAAGGTTCCCCCTGAACACGGTTCACATTGGCTTGGTGAAGCAGCTCCAGGACGGGGCCTTTTGGTGCCTGCAGGGCAGAGAATGGGGGGTCCAGACCCGCTGCACCAGAAACCAGGCGGGCACCGACTGTTGGAGTAGTCTGTAAGCCCTGGGAAATAAGAAGTGTCTTTAAAAAATAAAAAATAAAACTAAGAGAAATATAAATAAAAGCACATTTGCTGTATCACACGTTGAGCAGGAAGTTAAATTAAAATCACCTGAACCATTAAGCCTAAAACCCAAACACCCATAAAGTTCTTTACAAGGAAATCTCAGGCACGGACTGACTTATGCATTCACACACCATTCACTTTGATCTGTCCTACAAATGTAAATCCCAAACAGCAAGAGAGAGAAGGAATTGTGGATGATACACCTCTATAAATTGCAGCCACAGGCAGTATGAGAGTGGTTGTGGTCAGTTAGATGCAGTGTGTCACACCTGTTCTGTTACAGTGAGAACCAGGAGGGCAGGGCAGGCAGTCACCCTTGCTGCCTGCTCCCGGTAAAGCTCGATAGGTGTACAGCGGACATGGCCTGGGTCCTGTGCCTCCATTAAAGTCACTTCCAGGCAGACCGTCACAGTAATGAGCGGGCGGACACGGATGAAGGACTGGGTCTCCTGTACAAAGATAAATTCTCAACTTTAAGGAAACGGAAAAAAAAACCCTCTTGCATTGCATTTGAGGAATCGCTTAAGGGCTTCAGCTACTTTTCAATTGTCAGCCTGGGTTTTTTATCCTGCTAGTATCCAATTAGACTTAGTTTACACATGAGACTTAACATAACTGCAATTCACTGCACGGCGGGACAGCAAGCAAGCAGTGTTCGATACAATGTTCTTATTTATTTGATCTTTCTCTCATCAGTGTTGCAAACTCAACTGCCGGATTCCCTCAATCCTCAAAAGAATGTGTCCCAAAATGCCTGAACTAAATTATCCAATTATTTTCATCTTAAACGCCGGATAACAGTTACTACAATTACTTCCAAATACTCAAACATGAAGAGCACCAGCTAATACCCGGTTTACACCAATGCTGAGGTGGGCAGGGTAAACAGTCAGGTAGGCTGGCACCTCCCGGGGAGCTTCTGAAGGTGTTTGCAGCACAGAACTTAGCTTCCTCCGTTCCCTCAGGACAGTAAAAACCTGGAATAAAAATACTTACATGTGGCAACTACACATTTTACAGATAGTACAATTAATAACTAGCTACGCTAATAATTTAGAGAATGTATCACAAAGTAGGAAATTGATGTAAAAGATATACAAATAGCAGTACTTATGTATAACAACATGTGCATATTTTTAACAATGTATGTATTGTACCTGGTGGACATGGTCCAGCACACTGCATGCCCCACTGGCACTGTGTCATGTTAGACAGTGGCGCCTCAGGGGTGACATCTGCACTGCCAGAAACACAAAGATAGCCCGCCGCGCACAAACCCTGGATCCTACCAGCCCTGAAGAAAACATACACAAAATAATATACAAAGATATAGACTTCATTACCTAAATGATAATTACATAGTTTCTGGTATTTTTACCTCCCATTATTTTCAGGCATATTTAAATTTAAATTTGGTTGTTCAGTGAATCATGACTCCTGCAATTGTGTGTTTAATCAGAGCTCAGAGGTTTTTGCCTTTTTTCTCTCCTTTGAGCATGTCTTTGTGTGTGTATGTACAGGATGTGAATCTGCCTTATTGTGTGTGTGTGTCTGCCTCTGTACTCGAACGTGTATGTGAATGTGAGACATGTGCATGCATATAGTGGGGCTGTGATGCATCCATAATACCTGCAGAATTTCCCTGGAGGGCAGGGTAAACACTCTCGCTCTTCTTGTAGTCCTCCCTGGTTTGAAGGAGTGTATGTCCCATTGGGGCAGAGCAGAGGCACCATTGTGCCTAAAGAAAAGGATGCAGCAGAGCAGAGACTTACAGCGCTATTTGTTATATAGTAATTACACAATGAGAGCAGAGCATAGACCAGAATGCATTTTTGAGGGGTTTGCAAGGAATGGTTGGTATAATGTTACTTAGATTAAATCACCATTTGCTATCCCCAGTTATTCAAAACCTTTAAAATACCTGCAGGGCAAAATGAGTGTGGTGGGCAGGGCCATGGCTCTCCCACTATGGCCTCCTCACAGTAGAACCCAGATCGGCATGGGACGCAGCCGTCTGAGCCCGGGTTTGGCTGGTACTCTCCTGTGGCACAAGGCAGGGGCAGAACGGAGCCTTCTGGACAGTAATGGCCCTAGTAGAGAAAGGAAATGCCAAAAGGGTCAGTGCATCAAGAGATTCATAATAATGCACATGGCACAAAATTCTCCTGGAGAGACGCCGTTAGGAAAGCAATACGAACAATGGAGAAGTCGCAAGAAGAGGGGAGACAATTCAGTGAACGAGGGTGAAAAATGAAAAAATTGACCTTTACCTTGGGACACAAGAAGGCATATGGAGTGGTCGAGGAGTAGTCAAAAGGGCAGTAGAAACCAGCTGCACACGGGCCACTGGGGCTAGCAAGACCCTCCGCAGAGCAGTAGTGACCAGCGGGACAGGCGGAGCAGCTCTCCATGGACACCCCTCCTGCAGGACGAAAGAAGACAACAGTAGGACCTATTTCAAAAGCAAGCCCCCCCCGGTTAAAGAGACGCTGTGGATATCAAATCATTCAATCATCAAAAAAACACATCATTCATAATAATGACTTGAATATAATGAAAGTAGTTTTACCTATGGTTTTGCGAATACTGCCGAGAGGGCAGGGAATTGGGGCGAGGCACCCTGCTGGGCAGTAATGGCCCACGGGGCAAGGGCCATTCACTGGGGAGTTGTCAGAGCTGTGCGGTGTTGGCTGTGTGGCTCCCCCCGTGCAGAAATAACCCTGCAAACAAGAACCTACAGAGAAATACATTTTGTTTATTGTTTGGTTCTTAACTAAACCAGTGAACCAGGTGTGTGTATTTTGCTAAACGGGTAAATTCTTTGTGTCTGCTGACCGTCTGGTGTTGAGGCTCCGTATGAGCTACAGTACACTCCAGAGGGACAGGGTGTGCACACAGAGAGAGAAAAGGCTCCTGTCTTGTTGCTGAAAGTCCCCAACGGACAGAGCTCAGGCAGCACGGTCCCAGCAGGACAAAAATGACCTAGGAAGAGAGCACTTTTTAAATATTCGTGGATCATTATCAGAAACTTGCCCAGTGAACAGTATCGCTGCTGTATGCAAAAGGGTAAATAATCTGATTTTTATACTGTAGGTTGGTTTTCAACGTCCTCACCAGCTGGACAGACAGAAGGCTCTTGAGTTGCTAAGTAGGAACACATGAACCCTTTGGGACATATTAAGCAGTGAGCTGCTCCAGTGGCAGGACTGTACGTGCCGGTCTCACAGGGCACCTCACTTGCTGAGCCAACGGGACAGCTGTGGCCCGAGGGGCAGAGGTAGCCATGGGAACCGTCGGATGGGGTGGCACTGGAGCTGCCACCCAGGCACACATACCTGCAGCCATAAACGGGGAAATCACAGATATTCAATGCTGCCATTAGTGATGTTGATTTGGCAGTGATGACGTATGAGTTCATATTTTCATTGGGAAGCTTTCCTGTTTACAGAGTCAATTACTCTTTTAAGTCATTTCTCAGAACTTGTCTTAACCAAAAATGTGGCACGTTTTGTTGATTTGCGGAAAACGATTCCCAAACAGTTTAGTTTTACTGTATTATTATAATACATTACATAAAATTCACTTTGTTAAAAAAATCAAATCAATCAAAATTGATTTGATTAGTAAATTGACAGGACAACAAAAAACAACGTATACAATGAAATGAGCACAAAAACGCACCTAAAGCAGTTACCACTACCACTACCTTATCAGTTATTATGGTACGTATTCCTTAGTGATTAATGTCAGATACACAAGTGTCTTTGAATTGCACTAAATTAAAACGCGGTTTCTCCCAAGTTAAATTCTTCTTAAACCCTGTTTTGTGTGCAGCTAACAAGATGAATGAAAAAGTGACAAACAGCAGCAGTGCTGAGAGTGTGGTTCTTATCTTGCTGAAGACACCCACTCCATTTCCTCTTGTGACTCTCAGGTGAAATCTGCTGTCGTTACCTGTCTGATTTCTTTGTTTATGTGTATACTTTTGGCAGTGTGGGTTCTCTAGGTTCCTCCCGGGGTCCGCAAACATGCCACTCATAAGTTAAATGATGACTCCAAATTGTCCTGAATGGTGTGGATGTGATATGGAATATTTGTCGGTCTCTGCGTGTAAGCCCTGTGATAGTCTCCCCATCTGGGTCAACTCCGCCTTTGCCCAATGTCAGCTCGGGTTGGCTTCCCTTTCAACCCTGAACAAGATAACTGGTTAAAGATAATGGATGGATGCGTATACCATTTAATCTATGTTTAAATCCTACACATTAATCCAAAATATTAAAGGAAAACCGAAAGCAGGAGAGAAAAAGCTTTACATATCAAATCATTTCTTGGCCATTTCCTCTTCAGGACCAATGAAACAATATAAATAAATACGAACAACTAAACAAAACGGTGTGTGAGAGTAGCGAGATTTGAAAAAAAAAAAAAAAAACATCAAAGTAGAAGTATTTACCCAGCATGACATGGGGGTGCAACGGAGAGCTCTGCTATTGCAGGCCTGTCACAAAACCGTCCAGGGGGGCAGGGCAGGCATCCATCAACTCCCCTCAGTCCATGCGAGATGGAATAAGAGCCTGCCGGGCAGGGGAGGGGATAGCCGCTGCCAGAGGGGCAATAGTGACCTGGACGACAAAGGTGTCCTATGGTAGAATTCCCCTGTGCAAAAATGAATAGCGTTAATATTTTTGGTGGCATCATTTCCTAAGAGTGCACATTAGTATATACAGTATAATGCATTGCCTTTATGCGTCTTAAATTTCACTTATTCCCTGACCACAATTTTGTTTGCTAGTGGGAATTCAGGGTTTATGGAAGTCCTGGAAAAAAAGCGATAAATCAATAGCACCATCAAAACCATGAATAATTAAATATGTAGCCGACATCTTCTCAACAGATCTGATTTTCTTCAAATAATTATTAAGTGAAAGGTCACAGGTTCACCAGTTCCATTAGGACTCTTTGTCTAGGAAAAAAGAACGAACCATCATCACCAGGTTGCAGCACTACAGAGAACACAAACAACACCTGATAAGCAGTAGAGTTAGGGCTGGTTGAACCAGCAGGACAGTAGTAGCCGGCCTCGCAAGGTCCTGTTGGCTGCGACAGACCGGGTTGAGAGCAGAACTTTCCTGGAGGAAACACCAGCAGCATAAAGTAATCAGCATATTTCAAATATCGTGAATTCACTGTGTATGATTCATTTTGTGTTGTGGTTTTAATTTCATTATGGTTTAAGTTATTAATTCTTTCCACACCGGCAGGACAGGGCAGGCAGGCGTCGGGATCGGAGGCTCCGAGTCGGTTCTGCACAGTGCCAGGAGGGCAGGGGAACTCTCGTCCTAGAGACATCCCCGGAGGACAGTAGTATCCAGCGGGACATAAGGAAGGCTGTATAGTACCTTTAACTGAGCCACAACAAGAATAAACACATATCATATTGAAAGCGAACAATTAAATGAGAAACCATTGGGCCCAGTGCCGTAAAATGAATTACAATCAATAAATGTAAGTTATTGAAAATTGAATGTGAAGAAAAAGTCTCTCTTAGAAATTGTTTCCTACCTTGACAGTAGTACCCAGGTGTGCATGTAGTGCAATTGTCTTGATGTATGTTTCCTGTTTCAGAGCTAAATGTTCCTGCAGAACAAGGGATTGGGACCAGTGTCCCTCTGGGGCAAAAGAAACCAGCAGGGCACAGAGCCGTATCTGCTCTGCTGGAGCCCCAGTCGCAATAAAACCCTGCCCAGCAATCCCCTAAAGCCGGAAAAGGGGAAACCACACACTATATTGAAAGATGTTATCTTTAAAATCCATGAATTCAAAATAAACTGCAGGGGGAATGAAAAAAACCCAACATTCGCTTTGGGTGTGTTTTAATCTACCTGCTGTTTGCCCCCGTTGGCAGAATTTCCCGGGTGGACAGAGAGATCCAGTTCTGTTGTCAGTCGGGTTGGGCACTGTGGCGCCCATCAAACACAGAAACCCAGCAGCACACGGCCCCGAAGGCTGAACCAACCCGTCAGACCCACAAAACTGACCCGCTGGACACACAAAGCACTCACCTGTCAACACACATCGACAGCTTTGACTTTAGTCCAAACAGAACAACAAGCTACCTGCCAGATGCATCAGTCGCGTCTCTCACATGGTTGCCAGCTGCTAAGGTTTTCAATGTGGGTAAGTAAACTACATTTTAAACGTTTGGAAACAAAAAGATTCTACGGCATCTTGTAATTCCACTTCTGTCACAGAGGTTGAGGCCTTTTACCTGTGGAGGTGAGACCGTGGCGGGGGCTGTAGGTGCCTTTGGGGCAGGGAAAAGGGTGACTGTCTGGATTCTCCCTGGGACATATGTAGCCGGCCGGGCAGGGCAGAGGGCTGGAGACTCCAGTAGGGCCTCCCATGGTGGGGCTGCTACTCGGGTACTGGCAGTGGAACCCAGCAGGGCAGGGATCACACTCTGTTTGGCCCGATAAATCCTGGAACCAGCCTGGTTCAAAGACATTCAAACAGTGAGTCATTTATACACTACAAAATAAATCAGTTATGCCGTTATATTCGCAATATTATTATTTCATAATTAAATACCAAGAGGACATGTTTTGCAGTAATCTTTGCTTTTTCCTCCAGTCTCATTCCGGTAAGAGCCAGCCGGACAGGGTGTGGGAACGCTGCTGCCCTCTGCGCAGTAGTGGCCCGCGGGACAAACACTTCCAGATTCACTTGACATTGGGGCAGCAGTCTGGGATCCCTCTAGACAGTAAAAACCTGAGAGAAAAGCCTTCAATGAAACGTTGTGATACCACACCTTTGATACTGATGTGGTTATGCGTCAGACAAACACAAGTTGTCGTTGTTATTTGTGACCTGGCAGGCAGGGCCCAGAGACTACCGAGAGGCCGATCTCTGAACAGTAGAAGCCTGGAATGCAGCTACGACACTGGGACTCCTCCACCAGCCTGCTCTGCTCACTGTGGAAAGAGTCACATCAACCATAAACCACTGAAATAATAAGGGGATTTTCTGTCACCTGGATAACAATTGCTCATTATTACATCACAGAAGTCACTCCTTCTCACTACCGCAATCTGCCTTTTCATCACACTTTTATATTTTCTACTGGCAAAGCAAAAGGTTAAACAAGGAAAATCATCCATCTCTCTGGATTCAATTTTACCTTCAAACTTTAATCCATTACCACTACAAACAATGTTTAGTCACCATGTAATGTGTTGCTGTAGTTTGGAATTAAAATTCAAAATGTGTCTCATGAATAACTCGGTTCACGGTAATTAGAGATATGGATATTAGCACGTTTGTAGAGATATTGCAGGGTGTGCACCTGAATGTTCCTTTCGGGCATGCTTTTGGAGAAGAAGTCCCCACGGAGCAGAAGAAGCCGGGAGGGCATGGGAAGCCAGTCACATTATCGAGTGGTGAAGATTCAGAGGCTCCGCCAACACAAACAAACCCTGCAGCACACGGCCCGCTGGCAAAAGTCCTCCCTTTAAACAAATATCATTCAACCAAGGCTTTAATCACCTCAACGACAGAGCAGCCATTAACTGTTTCTGGAACGCTTCTATAAAGCAAGGTAGATACATCCCAAATTACTAATCACAGGAGGGGCTCCATTGTACCTGTTCCTTTGCAGTACATCCCAGGGTCACACATTGAGCACTGCCACTCTTCAACCAGTCCTGACATGTTTCCGTAAGTTCCAGCCGGACAGGGATGTTGATTTGCTGATCCGCCGGGACAATAAAATCCTCTCTCACAAGGGAGTGGATGGGTCACTCCTGACGTACAGATATGGTACGGAATGAAAAGGGATCTCTTCTGATTAAATCTAAACATCAATTACATCCACGTTCCGGGTCGTTTGTCCACCGATCAGCTTTACCTTGATCTCGACAGTAGAAACCGGAAGGGCATGTCTCACAGCTGCCGCGGCCTTGTCTTAGCTGGTAGCTGCCGGGGAGGCAGGCCTTCTGTCTGATACTTCCCTGTAGCAACCATTTGATCGATTTCCACATGCATCATCGGGCATCAATAACAGAGACCGGAGACAACGCAGGAACAATTGTGAGAAAGTCAAGAAAAACACGGAAACAAATCAGTTTCAGTAACACACCACCAGTGAGAAGAACGACCCATGCGCAAACATCTCATACAATATTTGGTAATGATCACAGAAAACAGCTTGAAGTATAATACTGGATGGCTGACCTTTTCACAATAATGTCCCAGTGAGCAGACATGTTGTTGTGGTCTCTCGGAGCTCTGTCCCTCAGGACAATAGTAGCCTTCTGCACACTGCCCACTTGGCTCAGCTATTCCTCTCTGGTGGCAGAAGTGACCTGGGGGACACATCTGGCAATCCCCCACCGTAGACCCACCCAGGGAACCTGATGGATAGCACAAAAGATGTTGATTGGTTAAAATATTGACATACTTTTAAAAGTCTTGAACTGGTTGCTGTGCGCACAGTGTTTGTTGACTCGCAAACCAACAAACAGAAGAAATCCAATCATATAGATGTTAATTTAATGCAGAGTACATACCTATCCCCTCATCAGATTCTAATTCATAACCACAATTAGGTGCTACAGAAGGTTTTAATAGGATCATTGTTGTTCGCAGTGAGACCAGAATACCATCACACAATTAAACCACTTTGTGATTGAATTTATTCACAGGCGCCCAAGGGGGAGAAAGCGGCTTTAATGGAAGTTTTCACATTCTTCTGCATCACTGAACTGCAACGATAGATATCAGGTCATGTGAACTAAACATCAGTTTAGTTCAAGGACATTAGAAGGAAAAACTGACATTTTTTGCAACAAAGAGGATTTGTCATTATGTTGCTGATTAGTCATTCATCATTAATTCTTAATCACACTAGATCTCCTGCCTCGTAGATGTACTGCCCACCAGTCAGGTTGCCTTTATTATCCAAAATGTATTTTCTTCATAATTATTTCTGATCAAATTCTTTCCAGGAGTTACTGAGATTTTACTTCAAAAGCTTCCAGCTGTTACCGTCGCACAGGCATAAAAGAGCATAATTGAATCGATGAGATTAATAGATGAATCAAAAGAGGACAGCTTTATTTCGTAAAAGGAACGTCTCACTTTTTATGGTCCCAATGGGACACGACCGAGGAAGAGGAGTTCCGGCGGGGCAGTAGTGTCCTGTGGGGCAAGGGGTGGCATGGGGGTTCAAAGAGCCTTTGGGACAGTGATATCCTGCAGCACAAGGCCCTGCAGGGGCCTCTCGCCCAATCTGGTCACAGTAAGATCCAGCTTCACAGGGCTGGGGGTAGGAAGAGCCCACGGGACAATAGAAACCTTTAAACCAGACACAGAAAGTATCAATGAAGTAAATTAACTTCTTTCAGACAAAAGTCCAATAAGGAGGATTACTATCTTTTACGCTCCCAATTCCCTGTAGAGATGGAGTTTTTTTTCATACTCATTTCTTTTCCACACTCTATTATTGCTTTTTCAGATGAGGTAATCCATTTGAATGACCACCAGCGTTAAGCCTGAGCCGCCAACACAGAATTACTGTAGCATGAAGATAATTTCATGATGGGGTTTAACTGGTACATAATAAAAGCATGAAAGAAAATAGCAGAAATTCATCCTCTCTAACTATCTTGTCTGGATTTAAAATTTCAGTCAATACATGTGTAAATAAAACCAATGACCGGGTCTTTAAAGCTGTAATATGCAGTGCGGACTGGACAGATCAGATAAATTGTAACAGCATGTTCAGTTAAAAAAGGACTATGTGCGCCTGAAGGAATGAACCACGTATCAAATCAAGCTCACACACGTTCGCTGTCAGGAAGTACCCACCCTTAGGGCAGATGTCTCCTCTGTACGAGGAGCAGCTCCGATGTGGACTCTTGAGGCACAGCGGTGAGTGAGTCACCGAGTCCGCCTCCGTCGCCGTCACCACTTCGATCCAGTTAGCGTCGCTTCCTATAAAAAGGATGTTGAGGATAAAGCATGAAGAATATCTGATTTAATATCTTTGTCTTGAGAAGAGGGATTTAACAGTGTAGACTGTCACGGAAAGAACATCTCTTAAAATGTAACACTGTACGGCAATGATTGATTGTAGTATTCTTGAGGGGAAGGTCAAGCTACAAGGTGTTTCTTTATGGTGCATTTATCACAACACGTAAGGCTTTGCTCTCTCGTTAAATAGTTTGAAGGAATATATGTACCTGCACTTTAACAGAAACATGTATTGTGTGATTGCAAATATATCTTACCAGAACTACTGGAATTATTGAAGCAGGGCAGATTGTGAATCCAGAGTGCGGCGTCTTTCTTTGTGGTGTAAACCTCCAGTATCTCACAAAGACAGCTGAACACAGAGGCTCGAGGCGTGGGGCTATCTGCCCCTCCAGAACAAAAGAAACCTGCAGAGCACAGACCTAACAAAAGGAGGTTTAAGAAAGATGTAACGACGATCCATCTTGCTGTATGTAATGTAAAAATAGTGCTGATGTTGGCAGTGATCCAGAACGTGAACCTGTACTTAGTTGTAGTATACAGCTGAAACACACAATGTCATGGATTTTGCACAATTGGCCAAATTTCGCTCTTGAAAAACGTGTCCAAATCACCCACCTGTGGGCTGTGAGCTTCCAGGAGTCGGGCAGTATTTCCCTGGGGGGCAACGGTGACAGTGAGAGCGGGCAGAAGCTCCACGCTCTGGGAGGAAGCTGCCGACAGGACATGGTTTGGGTGACCCGCTACTCCCAGGACAAAAGTGTCCTACGGGGCAGACATCTCCATAAGGCTGCGAGACAGGGGAAGGCTCCGTGGATCCCAGGGAACAAAAATGTCCTGTGGTGCACAATGCAGTTTGATATTTAACTGACAACACTGAAGCATTCAAGAGAAACCGTGGCTTAATGCATAGCCGAGATACAGGGGAGGAAAGACAATCAGATGGGAAGGTCGTGGTGTTGCTGGGCTGTACGACCTGGGCTGCAGGCTCCGGACGGCTCTGTCAGAGCACTGCTGTTACAGAAGTAGCCAGCGGGGCAGGCGGGGCAGTCCGTCGGGGACGTAATGCCAGCCGAGGGACTGACGCTGCCCATCGGACACGCCGATGGCACGGATGAACCCCGAGTACAGAAGAAACCTGGCCAAGGTGTCATTGTCAACTTCTGTTCTGCTGTTGTTTCTTTGTGTAGAGTTTCTACTTGTCAGTTAAAGTGTGACTCTTTTTTTTTAATTACCTGGTGGGCAGGTGTTGCAAGTGGACTGTCCAGAGGAAGATTGAAAACTGCCATGGCTACAGAGGGCCGGCTCGGCACTGCCAGGTGGGCACGCATGGCCGGGCGGGCACTGACATCCTGCGACACAAGGCGATAAAGAAAAGTGCAAGCCATCTTCTGCACACTCCTTGATTACAACAGAATAGCTTTTTAAAGACAGGCACGGGGCAAATATACACAAAAGAAAGCGCAGCTGTTGTATTGTGTGGTAACATGGAAACAAGGTAATGAATAAGAGACCCACTCAGAGCAATTTTCATAAAGAAGAGAAAAAATGGCCTCAGCCACAGGGGCCCTGACTCTGACAGCAACATGTTGGACCATTTTCATCGTTAAATTAGAAAGCCTTTTCCACAATGAAAGGCAAAAAGGGGTCACGGATGCCTTTTGAAAGAATTTCCAGGTGTGCATGTATTAAGAGAGGAAGGGGAGAGCACTTTTGCGACATATAATTCACCTCCAAGGTAAATTTAGCGTAGGATCAGAAAAGTAATTGTTGAGTTCGGCCTCACATCTATTGATCTAGTTATTGCAACAGGTACTAAACCGCCACATTTAGGGAGTAGACAAAAACAATGCAAACACCTCACGTCAATGTAAAAAAGGTGGGTCTTACATTTAAGCAGGTAAACTACTAATTTATCAAATATAAATTAGTCATATTTCACACTTACCATTGAAACAAAAAAAAATGAAAATTGGTGCAGAAACAAAAGAGGTGGAACATTGTTGCTGTCGTTTTTAGTTTTTCAGATAATCGAATGTATTAGTTGCTCCTTCTTCATGTCTCAAGCATGAAAAACATCTACCAACTGGGAAATCTGAAAATGCTACGCAACATGAAAACAGTCTATTTGTCCCGGTTGATACTTTATAGATCCCTTAGGACAAATGCCATATGGAACATGTTAAGAATTTCATTGGCAATTGTGTGTATAAAAAATATACATATAGCAGTTGTCCATCCCCTTTTGAGTGAGAATCTTGAATACGACTCGAACCTAAAGTTAAATGAAGGCACTACCTTTTATAGATAAAACTAACTTGACACGACCCCTGGTGATGTGTGCCGTACCTGGCTGATGTCCGGACACTGATCCGGGTGGACAGAACCACCCCGGGGGACAGAGGAGGTCGACAAAGCTCTGAGCCCAGGAGGGGCAGTAAGAGCCCGAGTAACAAGCCTCACAATCAGTCTGAGACTCAGCCGCAGACCTTCCCAAGAAGGTTCCTACATGGAGGAAATAAATTGTAATATCACTAGAGGCAAGTATTCTACTTGATTTTCTCTCGAACATATAAGATATAGCATGGTATAATAGTGTCATGCATACACACCACACATTCTTTCACTTGGTTTAGTAGCTAGCTGACCATTATGACAGTTTTATTGGGCTCCTGTTGGGCCACCTTTTACGGTTTCTGGATACATTCAGGCATTATATTTTACCCTTGGGGGCTGTATGGAACCGTGCGCAATTCAGCAAAGTGACAGGATATATATATATCTGTTCAAGAACATATTAATAACACAGGGCGAAGGTAAAATGTCCACTTGCTTCAAAGCTCTAATGGGAAATGTTGGATTTCTACCTGGAGGACAAGGGCTTGGCTTTGCACTCCCTTTAGGACAGTAATGGCCTGCAGGACACACACTGCCAGTGAACTGTTCCAGGGTTGAATCACCAGGTAGTGGAGATGGCGACGTGGAATCTCCTGTAACCGAGGCAATGAAACTTTATTGGATGTCATTACTCATTAGGTTAATAACTGAAATAAAAGGCCAAAGACATTTTCTCCAACCCCAGGGAAGCAGGGGGGACTGGTAAATCTCCTGCAGAGACCTCTCCAGCCTTGTGGAGTCAAAGGTCAGGAAAATGTTAAGTAAAAAACAGAAGGGTGGTAACAAAGAACTGCACAGAATGGCGTTTTTTCAAGCTTGTATCAATGTTTTCTATTGTAAATACCTTTTTCAGAACTGTAAAAAGTCAGTAGAGAGCTTTTCACTTCCATTTGTGTATGCTGTGTATACCACTGTTGTGGGATGTCCCTGTGTGATTGAAGGAACACAGCCCATGATGGCTAACCCCCAAATTTAGACACCGAAGGGCTGTGAGGCTCTGTAAACCCCATTCTGGCTCAAAGTGGTCGTATGGGGAGCATCATACAATTGAGCCAAAAACGGAATTAACGTCATCAAGCTGTCTGGCTGCATAGCTGCGGATGAATGACGGCAATTTACTAAGCAATCTGTGTGCTGGTTGTTACAGCAGTTTGCCACGGCATACACGGCATCCAAAAACTGAAAGTAAGCGCACTCAGCTGTGTTATCTCTAGCAGCAGTGAGTAGCAGGCAGTGAATAGGGAATTAGTAGTATAAAAAAAAGTTTGAATCAAAGCAACCATGAGAGCTCCTTGAGCATGCAGAAATAACCGGCCAGCCTAAATATTATGCAGTTTGTTGCAGCAGATTTGAGACTAAAAGGTTCACACTCTCGTGGACACACGTACGCTTCGAATCGCATAATCGCTTTGACAGAGATAACAACTGGTGGGCCAGGCTGTCATAGACTTTCTAACACTTTGTCAAGGGCAAGAATAATCTGCCTATTACCTGAGGTGTCACCCATAGGTGTGGCCGTTCTGGATCCCTGGATGCAGTAGAAACCTGGGTTGCAGGGCCCAGATGGGGAGGACAGGCCAGGCGCAGAGCAATAATGGCCAGGCAAACAGGACCGACAAACCTCTACAGAAACGGCCCCTTGAACAACAAAAATAAACCTCCTATGGTTGACCCATCCATGAATTAGGGTGAGATGAAATAATTCCACCTGTTTCTTTTTCTCTGATTAACGATGAAGATTTCATCGATTACAGAAATTTACAACAAAAGTGCTTACAGACTCATTTAAATCAGCCCATTACGTTCAAATGTCACCAAAGGTGTGTGTGTAATTATTCACTGTCATTTGTTACCGTCTTTGGAACTGAAGGTGCCTGTAGGGCAAGGAACCATGTAGTGGGTACCCTGGGGGCAATAGGACCCTGCAGAGCAACGGCCTCCTGTTGGGCCCTCCTCCGGCTTGAAAGAAACCGAACCATGGCTACAGAGGTAACTAGGGGCGGGGAGATGATGAAGACAATAGGGGTGGACAAGAAAGACGGAAGGAGAAAGTGGTTTAATTACAGGTGAGGGTGACATAATTTGACAGGAACAGGAAGTTGTCAATTTCATAGAAACACGATGAGGTAAATGTTTAGTGCGCCCGTGTTTACCCTGGAGAGCAGACCCCAGTGGGTGCAGCAAGTCCAGAGGAACCGCAATATCTCCCTGGAGGGCAGAGCTCACAGCCCGACTGATTGGACAACCCCATCTGCCCGCTGAAAGTGCCAGCTGGGCATGGGAATGCTACACCAGACTGCGTTCCTGTAGATAAATAGTGTCTAACATCTACAGCTGTTCCAGCCCTGAATATCACAGAACAATTTTTGAAAGCCGTCATTATCTCGTCCATTTGCATAATTGAAAATCCATTTACTGATACGGCCACTTAATCAGTACATACAAAACTAACCATATTCAACAATGTATTCCATGCAGTTTGCATGCATTTGTTCATCTCATTGCGCAAAAAACAGCACTTATATGTTACACGTATTGGTTTAGAACAATCTCTGATGACATTGTGCATTTGTTACGAATGTGTTAGAATAGCTTCATTATTGTTTCCTACCTTGTGGGCAATAGTGTCCGATAGGACACAGAGTCGAAGTGGCAGGACCAGACACATGGCCAGTGTCCGCATCCACCAAACCAGCACAGTAAAATCCGGCTGGACATTTGACACATTCTGCCTGCACATTTCGCACACACTTGTTTTTTATACACAGATTACATACAAAATGAATACATAAACTACAGATTTTCATGGATATAAACGAAGATGAACACACTTGTGTTAAAGATGATAAAAGCTAAACTATTAAATAGTGCACAGTTCACACAGGTGTTAAAGAGGCTACAACTCTCCTGAATGCCTGAGAATGTGCAAATAACAAAGCCTCACTATACGTTAAAAATCCCTCTCTTATAGGTCACATACAATTAATCGATAGTGAAGACATGTTGTCCAGTTTCAGAACAAATTATATTTTCTAAACCAGTATATCAAGTTGTATAGCACATGCACCTGTTAATGCTCATCTTCCTCACCTGTCCGTGTAAATCCTGGAAGGTCCCTGGCAAGCAGGGTACAGGTCTATCGGATCCAGGTGGACACATGTTTCCAGGTGGGCAAGGTGAAGAGGCCTGCTGCCCGCTGTTTTCTCTGCCTGGACAGTAGGAGCCAGCTGGGCAGATATTAGAAGGGAGAGAGAGCCCTCTAGTGTCACAGATGAAACCTGGAAAAGGAAGGGAGACTGTTACATAGCCCATAGCACACATCGTGCCAATGGATTATCTCTTGACAAATCAAGTTTTGGATTAGAAGTTTTATCTTCTGGCAAGACACATAACAAAACACTAGAATGTGCCAAATAAATTTGCTCCAACCTGGAGGGCAAGGCAGACAGTTGGAGGGATAACGGTTTCTGGTGCTGTTGCTGTAATGCCCGATGGGACAGGGCAGTGGTGCTGAGGAACCCCGGGGACAGTAATGGCCTTCGGGACATCTATCACCTGTCGTCCCTCCGTCATCTGGTGTGGGTGACCGGGCCCCAGAGAAGCAGTAGTACCCTGCGTCACACTGGCCTGATGCAACACTCATCCCAGGGGTAAAGCAGAAGTAGCCTGGAAAGGGGGGAAAAAGGGGTGATGGAAAATTGTAAAACAGGCGCTTTATATTTTATTGATCACACACTCCAAAACAAAGAGTGATCTTCTCCTGAATTTTTTTTAACAGCGTTTTTCTTTAAAGTATGCTAATTTGTTAATGGTGATGGTATTCAATTACCATCTACCGACAAGGTCATCCTAAACTCTGAGTCAACTACCTCAAGGAAACTCATGATCGTTAGCAGTAAATGGCGTGTGACCTGCAGGGCAGGGCAGGCAGTCCTGGGGCTCGGCCATCCCAGCGTGGGGGTTGATGGATCCTGGTGGACATGGGTACTGGTGTTTGGACCAGGTCCCGGACGGGCAGTAATGACCTACTGGACACTCATAAGTCCTCGACAGGGAGCCGTTAAGTCTGCCAGGACAATAAAAACTATCCAGACAAAACAAAAATGGAATAACTTAGTTACTGGCTGCTGATTAATAATTTATGCATGTAGACTTCAAAAACACTATATGTAGGTACAGCTCTTTCCCTGTGGTTGTCTGTGCACAATGACTGCGTGTAGTTGATAAGCTAGTTTACCCCTGAGGACAGGCACTGCAGCTGGCTCCACCATCTTCCGTACCGATGGTTCCCAAGGGACAGTGGCGAGGAGCCGCAGAGCCCTCAGGACAGAAATAACCTGGTTGTGTGAAGGGCAAAAGCCATGAAAGATAAGCACACTTACAGGTATACAAACAAAGACCAGCTTGATTCACCAGGGACAGGGTTTGGTTTCCAGTGTAAACATAACAGCTTCTTAGGTTTAAACTTATAAACCTAAAATTCAGGTTTGTTTACCAGTTAGATTATCTGGCTCTGGGATCATGCAAATGTTCAACATAACTGTGGGCTTTACAATTCACACTTTCTTTTGCATTCAATACATTGTCATTCTAATGACTCTTTTTATTAATTTTCTTCACAGTTTTCACTCATTTACATTTTTTTCATTCAAGAAAGAAGAAGGAAGCACCAGTTTAGAGGGTTCTGATCACCTTTTGGGCATGGCCCTCCGTGCTTATGACCCAAAGGAGGGTCAGGGCGATCTGCACCTCCCACACAGTAGAAACCTTCCCAGCATTTTCCTGTAAGCCCCGAGAGCCCCACAGCATCGCAATAGTAACCGGGGAGACATGGCTGGCAATCCTCCTGAGAGAGGAAATGAGAAAGACACAGAGAAAGAGAGAGGGAGTTATTGCAATATTTAGCCAGTAATTCCATTTAAATTCCAGTTTTCAAATTGATTCCCAGTCTTCAAATTGAAAGTACATATATCATGTATGTACTCATATTCACATAATTACAATGTGCAATGATTATAAATGCGATTATCATGTTTTATGAATTACGAGTTTTGAATTAGATAGGGAATATATTAATATTTTTTGTTGAGCATTTGATTCATCCTGCAAGTGTTCACAATTCAATGCATCATTGTATCTTATTCTAACTGAAGAAAATTACACTAATTTAGAAGGATACATGAGAGTGAAAGTGACCTGGAAGACCAACTTGGTGAGGTTAGAGAAAGTTCCCCGTGGACAGGGCAGAGGATGGACGGTGGCCTGGGGGCAGTAATGACCGGCAGGACATGTTCCTCCCTTTTCTGGTGAGAGACACAGGGAACAAATCTGTCGTTTATCTGATGGAGAACCACTGTGGTATTCCCATATTACACTGTACTTTATTTTCTGAAAGTGTGACCGTGTCTGCAAAATACGTTTGTTTACCTGCAGCCTGGGACTGAGGTTGGGGAGAAGTGTTTCCATGTGAGCAGTAATATCCTTCATGACATGGTCCAGTGACAGCGGTGCCATTTCTGGAAGAGCAGTAATGGCCGCCGTCACACTGCCTGCACTGAGAAACAGACCAGTAGCCAGGATCAGGGCCGTAAGTTCCCTCTGGACAGCCTCTCAAGTCAAATCCAGTCCTTTCGGGACAATAAAAGCCTGCAGGCCACAGCACAGACACAAGGATATGAATGGGCATAAAGGGTTCGGGGCTTACAGCAAATGTATTAAAATATTTTGCTGGATCAGCTTTTTCACTCATCAAGTATTTTGTTTGATAATCAACAACTTCATTTTAACAGCATACAACTTATGTTTAAGGGTTTGAAAAGGCATACAAACAGAAAGCTACACACCTGTAGGACACAAAGAAAGCGAGCCGGACACACAGTACCAGCCTGGCACACAGGGATCACACTGCGTAGCATGTGTGACAGCAGCATATGTCCCTGGATCACAGGGCACAGGTAGAACAGTTCCCTCTGGGCAGTAGTATCCCTCAGGACACGGTCCGCCCGTAACTCCATCAGTAGGGGCGAATGTAACGGCTCCCTCTACGCAGTAATACCTGCGTAACACACATAAGAGCATGGAAACTCTATGACATGGATGAAAAGGAAGGAAGGAATACAAGGAAGTTCCAAACAACAACGTGGGCGCAAGAACATCAATTTCTGAGCAAGGTGTACCCCCCGACGCAGGGTCCACTAGGTTTGGTGAGGCCGACAGAGTTGCAGTAAAATCCCCCTAAACAGGGTGCGCAGTCCTCCTGCTTACGCAGACCTGAGGCGTTGGACCAGCTTCCTTGAGGGCAGGCCATTGGTCCTGTAGTGCCTGTGAAGATGACGTTAAGTTCAACTCTCATTTTCAACTCCGTTGAACAGAGGACTATGCAGAAAAAGAGACTATTAAAAGATACCAACAGCAATGCAGTTATTGGGTTTGATAATGTAATATCCCATTAAAAAAGGTTTACACACTTGAAGAATTCAAGTGCAACTAGATAAGTGAGGTACTCAGGCAACCGATTGCTGCATGCAGAAAAAAGGCAGAGTTCACGTTTCAGCAACGTCTTTAAAGCACAGGTCAGTGCCCCCAAGTCAGAACGAGCAAGTGCACAAATTCATTTTAAGAAAACTTACAAAATAACAAGACTAATGTTGTCAGCACATCCCCTGGGCTACCAAATGGTGATTTGCATGAATAACACATTGTAGCCCTTGGATAAAATGGGGTAGAATGTTAATAGCTTCACACGGTATAAATTTGGTTGCATTAGCCTGCAAAAAAAGCTGCATCAGCGCTGGATTTCTAAAACTATTGTTTTGAAATTGGGGACCGCCTGCACCGTGTCACATTTCAGGCATCAACAGTACACAGTACTGACAGAGCGGCTGGCTGATTGGTTGATAAAGGACGGCAAGCCAGTAACCTGTGGGGCAGTATTGACCAGGCGGACACAAGGAACCTGAGACTCCATCCAGAGGACTGGGAGAGGATGCCCCCACTCTGCACCAATGACCAGCATTACAAGATCCTATATGAGGAAGAACATCAAAACACATCATTGTAAAGTCACAGCTCAAATACAGTACATCCAAAGCTGTCTGCAATAAAGTTTGGATAATTTCTATTTAGGAAAACCGTTAATAATTACTGAAGATAGACACAGGGTAAACTCATACTGGACATTACATTAACACCTCAATGAACCATAGCAGAACATAATGTATAACATAAAAAGACAGGCTTATTGGAAATACACGTCTCAATGAACATCCATTTGCTGATCAGACATGGTCATTAAAATGTTTTTTTTTCCATCGTCACATAAATAGCGGTACCTACTATTTAATGGATGAACGAGACAGTAACAAGAGAAGACAACTCCCTCTCTCTCTCTCACCTGCCGGCTCTGAAAGTCCTACAAAAGGACAGTACTGTCCAGCAGCACATGGCGTGCAGCCTGCAACACTGTGCGTGCGCTCTCTGGGGTTGAAGGAGCCTATGGGGCAGGGGTTGGGAAGGGCTGTACCTGCAGGGCAGTAGTGTCCTTCAGGGCAAGGCCTCAGAATAGAAACATTGGACCGTCTCAAATCGCAGTAGTAACCTTGAAAAAGAGGAAATACATGTTTTTTTTAAATTATCAACGCTATGGGGAAAACTTGATAATGGAATATCAAATAAAATTAAAAAATACTCTTACAGAAAACTATGTAGTAAAGTGCTGTTTAATAAGTGGAACAGATGCATTGGAACAAGCCATCAACTTCAATAAATTAAACTCTGCTGGAGTGCTTTAGGGGGGGGTTTCATAACAGCCTGTTCAGCACAAAATGACACAAGGTCAACCTGTATTTTTTGTTTTTAAATAAACAAAGAGAATAAAGCTACCCTACCTGCTTCACAGACAGCACAGGCTGACTGTTGTTCTCTGTCCTGGTAGGTTCCTGATGGGCACGGAACGGGAGCCGCACTTCCCTGTGAGCAGAAGTGGCTTGGAGGACACGGCAGAGCTGTAGGCACAGTCTGACCTGGTGGGCACCAAAACCCTACCGAGGTGACAAGAGACACAGTACAGACAAGTGTGCAAAAATGTGAAGGAGCTTGGAGAGGTGTTAAGCAATGCATCAAACACGCCGATGTTTATTCAAGTAGCTACGGCCCAAAACGTTAAACGCATGGATTCACCTTGGCTGCAGGGTCCAGTCGGAGCTCTGAGACCTGCTCCTTTGCAGTAGAAACCAGCAGTGCATTTCTGACAGCCAGCCTCACTGTTTAGACCGGGCACTGAGGAAAAAGTACCACTTGGACACAAATCCGGCTCTCCTGAGCCCTCAACTGAAAAGGGAAATGGTTAATATAGTCTTTCATTCATTTCATTCTAAAAGTTTTTAAGACGATGCACTGAGTAAACAGTGTGCAGATACCCTACAAGTGTATCAACAGGCTGAAAAAATAGGCACAGGATGATTCACACCCATGAGTAATTTAAGGTGTCAAGTACACCTGAGTCATACAGCGACTTCAGTCTCTAGTCCACCTAATTTGCATGTCTTTGGACTGCAATGTTAAAGACAGAGGCCCTTTTGCTGTAAAAATAACTCCAATTCCAAGGAACGTTTTTTTTCCCTGAAGTCCCTAAAGTATGTAGCAATATAAACATTCTCACAAATAGACTTTTTGCTCTTTATTTCTGAGGGGCGGACTTAATGTGTGGTGGCGATATGATGGCAGGTATCTGAAGATCAAAGGCACAGTTCATTTTGACAATTACTTCACTTTTCTTGTTTAGTATGCTTTAAGTTTGTTGGTAGGTTAGTATTGAAACCGTTCCAATGCTGTAAAGCAGGGTTTACCGCAGTACGCCCCAGGTGGACAGATGCTGCCCGTTTCTCCATCTGTTGGCTTCGCCTCGGTGGCTCCTCCCTCACAGTAATAGCCAGAGAAGCAGGGACCCATCGGCCGAGCCAAACCTTTTGAGCATCATAAGAGCACATAGGTTATATATATATATATATATATATATTATTTTTTTTTATACAGAGAAATGATACACACTATAAACCTCAAGGCTGACATCCTGCAATTTTGGTTTGTGTATCATGTCAAGTCATGTAATTTGTAATGTTGGCAAAAACTACAATGTGTCTTTGAGTGAATTCAAATACGTGTTGTATTCCTGTAAAATACCTGAGATGTTACAGAAGGCTCCAGGTGGACATGGCACGGGCTCTGAGCTACCTAAAGGGCAGTAAAAGCCCACTTGGCAGCGCCCCCCTGTGGATGTAGCTGGGCAAAGGCAGTTGGCATTTGTGTAATTGTCCAGATCGAAAGGCTGGGAGGTCCAAGCTGCTGACACACAGAACCAACCTGAGAGAAATTAAATCCAAGCGTCAGAAAGTAAACATGACGGTGCATTAGGTCATTGACGTGGACTAAAAGCTGCCGCTGCTGCTGGAATGCTAGAAAAAAACTGTAAAAAGAGAAGCAGTAAAATGCTGACAGATATAGCTAGTGTTAAGCTTTAATCTTAACATGCACTCTTTGTTTGCCACCCAGAGGCCTTGCAGACTGCTTTAGAACCCCTAAAAACAAAAAGGTTTTATGGATGTGAAGGTCACGAAAACAAACAAACTGACCGGCTTTGCATTTCCCGGACACTTTGGTCAGCCTCTCCTTCTCACAGTAGTGTCCAGGTGGACAAGGCAGGCAGCTGTCCAGACTGTGAGTCATGGGCTCTGGGTTGTAGTATCCGCGAGGACAGGGGAACTGGGTGGCGTGCTTTGAACCTATGCACATGATATCATTTCATTAGGCAAGTACAACCTGCCATGTCAGTACTGGAAACATTCATGTACTTATAGATATGCAGTTTGTAAAAGCTAGATAGTGTTACTGTCCATGAATTCATTAAGAAAGTATTTTGGGTTAGTCTACCATCTGGGCAGTAGAAGCCAGGCGGGCAGGGGAACTTGGTGAAGTTGCCAGTCTTTTCTGGACAGTAGTATCCAGCGGGGCAGCGGGAACACACAGGCTGCCCTGTGAGGTTGGTGTAGGCTCCAGCTGGGCAGGGCACTGAGCTTGCACTACCCTCGGGGCAGTAATGAGCTGGTGGGCAAAGACCTCCTTCAGAACCTGGAGAGGGAATAAAAAGAACTTTAGATACGGTAAATTAGTGAGATTATGGATTTCTGGGCTCTTAATGTGATGAATCATGTGATCAACCCTGATTAATTCAGTAATCATTTGTTCAACAAAACACCCCCACATATTCAGATTTCCTGCATGTATTAGCATCTGATTCTCTTTCAGCTGAAGCTTATTTATACAATTTAACCCCTGTCACACATTATATATCAGCTCACGTTGCCCATATTTAATGTTATGTATAAACTTCCTGTTAGTCATTCATTAATTAACAGGGAAGTTATTATGTTGATACCTGAAGGTGGTCGAAACAACTAAAAATCATTTTGCCGCCATCCAACAAGCACAAATCTTAAAAAAAAAAAAGAAAAACTCAACATTTGTCATTCTACCTGTAGCTGTTGTGTCTGCCCCTGGACAGTAAAACCCCGCCTGACAGAGTCCAGATGGATGAGTGAGACCTGACGTGGCACAGAAGTGACCCGGGGGACATGGACTACAGCCAGAAGCTTCTGTCAGATGAAGACTGCACCCGTTGATGTGTTAACGCATGAACCAAAAACACATACAAAAGGATTCACTTTACAAGCACGGTCCACTGACCTGTTGGAGTAGGTTCCTGGTGGACAGGGCAGTGGGAGACTGGTGCCCTCAGGACAGAACATCCCGTTTGGACAGGCGCCTCCTACTCCTGTGCTGAAGTTCCCATCTGGGTTCTGAAAGTTCACACCTTGAGTAGTAACATTTAAAAGAAGTTAAATTCAGTTATTCAGCAGATTTTTGTAGAGTAGCAGGTATCTTGGTTAGGTTGCAATGATATTATTGTTCTTGACTCAATTGTGCTTTTATCATACATGCAGAGTACCTGCTATGCAATAGTAACCAGCTTGGCAGGGTCCGCTAGGTTCAAAGAGACCCCAGTCCTCACAGTAGAACCCTGTTTGCACACAACACCAATGCCTTAAACAACCAGGGATCATCTCAACAATAGGATCACACCAGCGGCTACTCCGCGTTTACATCTTACATGGTAGCGTTGCATTGACAATCTGTCTGTCCCCTGAAAGATATATAAAAAAGCCTTACTCAAAATCACCTCTGTGTAAGTTCTTACCTATTACCTAATCTGCTAATGACTTCACACAAGATAAAGTCAAAACCAGTGTTGCTGTCACTGCTGCTAAGAAGGATGAAAATCTGAATTGTTTATTGCTATAACATTGCATCATAAAATAATATCCATTTCCGAGATAATTATAGGACGTTGTAATATTGCTTTTTATGTTTATCAATTAGTTCCAAAACATTGAACAAATGAAGGACAACTCATCCAACATTTAGTGAGGTACTTCAGTAGCTTGCAGAGCAGTGAAGACAACCATGGGGCAATACTCTCACCTGCTGGACATATGAGGCACTGCTCCACTTGGCTGAGGCCAAACTGAGAGCTGTATGTGCCAGGAGGGCAGGGAAGGATGCCCTCAACACCGCCACCGATACAGTAATGTCCTGCTGGACAAGGCTGGACACCTTCTCCGGACAGACAGTAGGTCCCTGAGTGGCAGTCATCACACTGTTCGGACCCTTCATCCAAAAAAAGGTAACAGCTGCAGTTTACATTTGAAATGGTGAGACTTTATGCCAGGCAGTTCCATGGAATTATTTTTCCGTACCTCTAGTGTTGGAGTAAGTCCCATCAGGGCAGAGCACGGGAGACGTTGAGCCTGCGGGACAAAAGTGTCCAACTGGACAAATGTCCCCTGTCACGCCGTCTGAAGGTACTGACGACACAGCCCCTCCTGAACAGTAATAACCTGTAAATCAATAGGCAACAGTTTGGGACGGTCAGTGGACAAATATATTTAAAAAAAACACTTTCTCTCAAATGTTGAAATCTCAAATGTTATTAACACCTCAAAAATATAAAGCAATGATTTCAAACATTAAATAGCTTTTTATCCACTGTATTATACCATATACCGGCATTGCAGGCTCCTGAGGGCCGGCTGAGTCCAGTCCGGTTGCAGTAGGATCCTGGAGGGCAGAGCCAGCAGGAGGAAAGGTTTTGGGCTCCCACAGTGCTGCTCCAGGTTCCTACAGGGCAGGGGTGCTGCTGGGGGTACCTGGTGCCTTGCGGACAGACAAAACCTGCTGGACATACAGCAGCAGAGGCCATGGCAACCTATGGGAATTTTCGGGTAATCATGAGCATATGACAACGTTTGATTATTTTGGCTTTCATCTGTAGTTAGAACTTTCAGTTGAAGCTGTGGGCAGTTTAAATCGGCAGCTTATCCCTGGAAAATAACCAACAACATTCTTTAGTTTCCTGATGCAAACTAAATATGCCTTTAAATGTATAATTATATAACATGGCAGAACCTAAGGAGTCAAAGTGTACATGAAATGAATAGCTACCCTTAAATTCAGTACGAAGGTTGGTCTTATTATATTCCTACACATTTTTCTATGCCAGTCCTTCCCTTATACGTGGTTCACAACAAGAACATATTACACCAAATGTCCAACACTTCACCAGCTTTGTAAATCATTCAAATATAATTATGCTAAATATATTAAACGGCATTCAAGCCTGTTTTCATGCTACATCACACGAGTGAAACAAGAAAAAATGTTATTAAAATGTATATGGCATCAAAGGGTCAATTGCATTCCTTTGGATATCGATATTGAGGTAATCTTATACTTATGCGTATTACTACTATTAGTTTTTAATAAAACATCCCTTCTTACTTGGATGAGCTCCTGGAAGCCGAGCTACCTAAATGATTAACAATGATGTGTCCTGTACCGGAGAGGCAGTGGACGCTCCTGAGGTGCAGTAGTGTCCTGAGTTACAGAGACCCTGAGGCTTCGAGAGACCGGCTCGGCTGCAGAACCAACCGGCCTCACATGGCCGACAGTACTGCACAGCGTCGCCACCAGGCTGGTCCGAATAAGAGCCCTGGATGATGAGATGAAATCATTTCACGGTATTAATGATGTCAATTTGAGGTTAAATCCAGTTCATGGAGCTTTCATCAAACATGCCGGACTAAGCAGACAGAGATGAGAAGGAGACTGGACAAGCAGCTGCAAAGACACACCTACATGTAGACACGCCGCACTGCAAACATACTAACACACAGATACTGACCGGAGGACAGGGTCGAGCAACAGAGGACCCCGGAGGACAGTAGTGTCCCGTGGGACACTGTGTAGGCTGGGACAAGCCCGTCTGGTTACACAGTCTGCCTCCCTGACACTCCACACATGACTGTGCACCTTGACGCTGTGGAGGATTTATTGACAAATGGAAAACCTTGAATAAGGCTTTATTTAACTTTAACGATAGATTTGAAGTGAAACAGCGCTTAGAAATCTGTATGGATTATTTCCTACCGGCTGAAAAGTCCCAAGAGGACAGGCTTGTGGCCTGGCGGCCCCCTCTGGGGTATAAAAACCCTCCTCTGCTTCGTTCTGAGTTGGCGAAGTTGAGCCACCGGTACAATAAAAACCAGGAAAACAAGGACCCGAAGGAGAGGTGTTGTTGGAACCTAAACAATAAAAACTGACAAGAAGAGAAAAATAATACATGAATAAAAGAATAGAATAGAATAAAGAAGAACGGGGATGGAGTATGAGAGGCTTTACCCTGGCGGACAGCTGACACACTGCTCAGGTCTGCTGAGGCCGGTGCTGTTGCTGAAGGTGCCGGGGGGACATGGGAAGGGAGAGGACGAACCCAGAGGACAGTAACTTCCTGCTGGACACAAACCTCCTGTCGGCCCATCCGCAGGAGTCTGGACACAGTCACAATACATACATGTGAGGAAATGCTGAATTGTTGTGGTGGAAGATTTTGCACAGACAATCGTTAAGTAAGAATCAAAGGCTCTGAGTCAAGTATGTCTTTTCTCCGTTTATTTCCTTGCAAGGGAAAAAGGGTCACAACAGCTACGTGGTCAGTAGACTGTCAAGAACCTCCTTTTTCTTCCCAACACATCGAGGCAGTTCTTATACCTAAACTTAGATATCGGTGGCGTCAACAGAAACCGTTAACCATCTTGTTGAGTATCTACAGTCAGGATACTGGGAACATCTTATCCATGTAAGACACGTCAGCTCTTTGACCGTATCCTTGCTCTCCCAACATTCAAAAACAAAGGTGGTCATAGACATAACAAACACTTTGTTCAATCTCTACAGCTATGACGCTGGAAACATCTAATCCAAGTGGGAGACATCAGTTCTTATGTCAGGGCCTTTGTGACCTAAGCACTTGCAACTAATAAACTGGTTATACAAATGAAGCATTTAAAAGGGTCACATATCATTTTCCCATTACATTGTGTAACCATTTTGTTCATTAGACACATTCTCAAAAACTGGCTTTACGTGACATGAGTGACCTTTAATTCATACAGACAAGGATACATTATTAAAGACTAAAAAACCCAGGATTAAAATATCATTTTCATACAGGAGATTTGGCTCCCTCTCTGCAGTAGTATCGTTCTTTGCAGCTTCCAGACGGCTGTGACAGTCCCACGGTGCTGCAATACTGGCCTCCGCCACAAGGGGAGCACTCAGCCCCGTCACCGAGAAGCGAACGAGAGCTGTAGGTTCCCTCGGGGCAAGGTTCAGGAGCAGAAGTGCCCTCCGGACAATAAAATCCCTATTAACATTGTGACAGACAAGAGAGATAGATGTGTTTCTCACACAGAGTTGCAAACACCCACAAGGCAGGTTACGCTTATGCCTCTTGAATGCAACAAAAAAAGCGGTGGGTATTCCTACCTGAGGGCAGACTGAGGGTCTGTGAGTTCCCTGTCTGTCGCAGTAATGCCTGGCTGGACATAAAACACACACCGCTCCACTGTGACCAAGTGTGTTGTTCCTGTACTGGCCGGCCTGACAGGGGAAGGTGTGTGGGTGGCCGGTCCCCTGCGGGCAATAGTGTCCATGAGGACACACAGCTGTCTGAAATAACGCAGCATGCATGATCTTCATCAAAAGTAGTATTTACACTTCAGAGCTATCAGAGCTGATTAGGCACAACAAACATTTTTTCTTTAATTAATTTTGGCTTCTTACAGGGGTGGTAATGGGCTGCTCCTGAGGCTGCTGGGAGTAACAGTACTTCCCCTTGGGACACTGGACACACTCGATGGCCTCACGCAGACCCGGAGCGTCGCTGTAGGTTCCGTTGGGGCAAGGAATGGGGTTGGGCTCCTGTGAGGGATAAAACACTCGCAGGTAGTTTGATGACCCAGAAGCGCTTCACTCATTTGAAAAAACAGACCATATTCATTTTTAAATAGATATATACACCTAAGCTACATGCATCATTGTGACTCACAACGCCTCCTCCGGGGCAGTAGAAGCCTCGAGGACAGAGGGTTGCTGAGCGCTGGGGGTCTCGGGCCAAACCCTGAGAGCAGAGGAGGCCCGGGGGACACACCATGACGCTCAACATGGCTTCCTCGCTCGTGGTCTCATTACTGCAGTAGTGGCCCGGAAGGCATGGAGAACACTCCACAGAGCCCTCGTCCTGCACACATGAGAATGTGAAGGAAGACTATGAGAGTCGAAGTTAAAGATATCAACCAGTGCGGGGGAGGTACAGAGCAAAAAAAAAAAGACAGACGGACTGTAAACACAAGGGAGAGAAGGATCGGACAAGATGCTGGTACACCACCGGCGTTTCTTCAATAATGAGAGCAAAAGATGAACCCTGAGAACATTCGACTGAAACCACTCCTCAGACATTTACAGATGTACGTACATGGTGAATGAGGTAAGACAATCACTGTGGGCGGAAAATGCTCATCTAAAAATAGGACAAGCCGACTGGCGCACCAGGAAGACAAGACTAATGCACCAGCGCTGATCTCCACTGGTTCTCGCTGATGACCAGTCACAGCGGACTGTGGTGTTAAAGATGAGGCCTTACCGAATAGCTGCCAGCTCCACACACTCTGGGGTTCACAGTGGCTGAGTGGGGACAAAAATAACCGGCTGGGCAGGTAGAGCAGTCCTCCAGCCTCCGACCTCCTTTCAGATGGCGAAATGAGGCACTGGAGAAAGACATAACAGAAATGATGTACTAACTCAAACCATTCTATATCAGACGGGCTAAATCCTCTATTATTCTGCATAGAGCAGTTTCAATATCATCACCTTCTTCATCCTTATTCACACATTTATTGAGCACGTATTGACTGCTTACAGGGGGCAGGGTGAAGGTTTGGAGGTGCCCTTTTGACAGAATGAGCCTTTGGGACAAATCAGGCAGTCTTCTCTGTATCTGTTGCCCATTTTAATGCTGTATGTACCTGCAGGGCAAGGAAACTGGGTGCCGTATGCAGTCCCTGGTAACACAACATCAAAATACTTAAACAGCATCCACAAGAATGAGTCGTGATTATGAAAAAACATCATATTGAATACATTTCCTATAGAACACTGTGTTTACTCTTTGCTGCGCTTTTCCATGTTGAATGGTCTACAATAACAGTAGACGCACTTAATAATTGAATGTGGACACTGCTTTTATTATCACCTGTGTCACACTCATGAGTACCTTCAGGACAGTAGTGTCCAGAATTGCAGCGACCCGACGGAGCTCCAGATCCGGCCAGACAGTACCAGCCCTGTGGACATGGCTGGCACTGACTTTCAGCTTCCAATCCACTCTGACTGCTCCATGTCCCCACAGGGCACTTGTACTGGGTGGGGAACATAGTTCCAGGTGGACAATAGTGTCCTGCAAAGCAGGAGATTGGTGGTCTCTGGATACCACCAGTTCCTGTTAGAGCATAAACAACGTAGGCATAGAGGTTAAATTATTTGGAAGCTATATATTTGATTTAATATAACAGTAGCAGTCAAAAGCTTGGACACATTTTCCTATTCAATGAGATAGTGTGTCTAAACCTTTGACTGGTACTGTGTATCAGTATGTTGACTCAAATCACATAACAAATATCTTATTAATGTATCCTGCTCCATTTGACATGGGTAACTAAATTAATTTATTTGGATAATGCTAATCATGAAATATCAAAACAGTACTTTTAGAAGGATGCAGATGTGCGAAAGATAAGTAGCACCTCGCAGACAGGCATATCGCGCTGGGCACCGCTGACACTGTGAGTGGTCAGTGAGGTCAGTGCGATCGCTCAGTGTCCCTGGTGGGCAGGCATTGGCTGGCGGGTTAGGTTTGGAGGAACCAGGGGGACATGCAAACCTATTAAGATCCAGTCAAAAGTGGTGGGACAATTTAAAGGACGAATTAGATTACAGGCAAGACATCTTTTTGTAAGAGAAGTGCTTTTTGTCCTCCAAATCACACAAGTTTACCGTATCTTTGAAGCATGCTTCACATTAAACCTTTCCTTACCCTTGCATGCAGTCCACATCGGGTGCTCTCAAAGCCACCTGTGTGCAGGCTTTTCCTGCATAACACTCTCTGCAGTCAGTCAACTCATCCTGACCCTCTGAGGGGTTAAAGGTGCCTGGAGGACAGGGCACAGGGTCGCTTCTCCCCTCAAGACAGTAAAAACCAGCAGGGCATTTGAGACAGTCCTTCACACCTGGAGGGCATAGTTACAAGATGCCAAGATTAAATCAGCTTTGGAATGCACTTCATTATACTCTACTAAGATCTCTTTTCATAGGTATTATTTTATGTTTTTTAATCTATTACGGCTCCGACTTGCCGTCGACGGCTGTGTTTGAAAAAAAAGTAATCTTCACCCTCTCAATATCCATCTGTTCCAATGTATCATCTATATGTTCCAGTTCATCGTCGGTACAAAACAACACTTATATCATATCACTTATATAATCTCTCAGTTTAGCTATGATGAACTGCTAGAGCAGCATATTTATTTAAACTGAGCTCATGATAAATTGTAGAATAAGTTCATTTCACTTAAGCCAGAACCTCTGCACAGTATACAAAGGGGTGGGGGTATATATCACTTGATTATGTGGTGAATATAAAACAGTAATAATCACTTATTGCTCCTTGATGAGGGGTGAAGGTGCCTCGAGGACACGTAACTTCTTCCAGGGTGCCAGCAGGACAGTATTTCCCACGAGCACAGGGCAGGCCAGGACCCGATGAGCCTGCGCAGCAAACATACATATATAAATACACATACACAAATCTATTAATCTTCATTTCACGTTCTTTCTTTGAATATGTGTCTGGTTACTTACAATTACATATTTCATCCGACACATGACGGAAGACGGACGTCAGTGTATTACAGCGAAGACTTACCTGCAGGACAGAAGCGTCCTTCTCTACATCTCTTGCAGGCTGCCCTACTTGTCTGACCCAGTTGTTCCCCTGCCGTACCAGCAGGGCAAGGTGACCCATGCGGGATGGCAGTGCCCTCTTCACAGTAATATCCCAGTGGGCACAGGAACTGGGAGGTAGGCCTCAATGAGCTGCCTTCCAGACAGAAAAACCCTAGAGAAAAGCATTTATAGAAATGGTCATACAACAAAGGACATAGAAATGTTACCAACTAAAATTGACCTATTAGGCTTGAAAAACTGACGTAGTTTGTGGGTTTCAATACTGATGCAATGTGCAACTGTGAGTGTAACAGGTTTGAAAGATTTGCCACTATCAATCAATGCTCTACCTGCAGGACAGACGGTGCATTCTCTCAACCGCTGCAGACCTACTTTAGGGCCGTAAGTCCCTGCAGGACAGGGTACAACTACACCTCCCATGCAGTAATGACCTGAGGAAAAAACAAACATGGACAATAGAGGCAGACAAATAGAGACAGATGGAGGAGAGTGTGAATGTGAATATCAGCTATACGAACCTATTGGACAGACCACACACAACGACTCCCCCCCCTCTTCTTTGAATGTTCCTGGTCGGCAGCTGGTTGTTTGACCCGACCTATGGGCCGGCTGGTTCAGGCGGGGGGCCTCTGCTCCTACACACAGCAACGATGTATCATTACAGTTACAGTAAGTCTGTCCGGGCGTGGAAGACCGACTGGGAGGGCAGGAGAGAGGCCGAGACGTTCCTTTGTCTGGGCAGTAACTTCCTACGGCAGGCAGAGGACACAGGGTCATATATCTATTCCAAGTTTACTGACATATCTAATGCTGTATTGAGAGCAGATTAGATGAAGTTGATTTATTTGTGCACTACCTGCTGGACACTGTAGGCACTTGATAGTGCACACAGTGGAATAGAAGCCTGGGGGACAGTCGGTGCACAGAGTGTAATCCAGGTTGGGCTCTTTGCCAGGTCCACACTTTAATGCACATATAAAGGATGAATAAGGAAGAAAGGGGGATATGTCTTATTATTATTTTTAGGCCAAGTTTACCAACCATTTATAACTGCAAACCAGACATGTCTCTGACATGACGCATTTTGGGACAAAGAGAATGCAACTAAAGACATTCTGCTGTAATGGTCACCTTCCTAGGAAATCCAGAGGTGCAGACAGAGTCTACGGGGCATGCCAGACACTTTAGGACCCCCTCAGGAGAATGTTGTCCTGGGGGGCATAAAGACAGCGTCCAATGGGCCGGATCACATGAGAAACCTGCTGGACAAAGTCGACAGTCCACTCTGTCCTCTGAACTGATGAGACCTGGAAAACAAGGCTGCAAACATACTGAAGTGAGAACAACAGAACAATGGCCACGATGATACATATGAAACTGCATCAAGAACAATATCTGAGGTTTAAGATATTGACACGCATGAGGGGAGAAATATTAATGTTGAATCTGCCCTTTTCTATTTGATCAGCATGTAAAACACATATGTAACTAGTCATGCATTGCAGCATCTGCTGGATCAGAGTCCTCGTTAGTGGGATTAGTTCCAGCTGTGTTTGGACTGGGAATGTTGCTTGTGAAAAGGGTCTTTCCATCTGATTTATAATTAGGAACACTATCAAATAAAAAAAGGCACTTTATTTGGCGTTCAATGGACGGCATGGAAAAATAAATCTGTGTGTTGCGTGATGATGGGCTTTTATTGACAGCTGTCTCTCACCTTGCAGTCACTGAGGCTGCTTTTTCCCGTGTAGAGGTTGAATGTTCCTGCTGGACATCTATGAGCTGCAGATACATTGCCAGGGCAACTATACAGCATAAATACATTCATTAATAGTCAAATTCTCACATGTGATTGAAAGATGTAGATTTGTTTTACATTACGCATATACGTATTTATGTATCTATTCTGATTAGGGACATAGTAAAAATGTACAGGCCATTTATCAAAGATGGTTGATGACTTACAAATGACCAGATGGACATTCCAAACAAAGCTGGTGGGAGAGGTATTTTCCCCCTGGACACCGGTCAACGTCTCTGTCTCCACCAAGGGAGAGGTCTGCACTCCCTTCAGTGGATTCTTGCATGCATGAATTAATATCAGGACGGATGTAGAAGAGACATTAGAAGGACTATGCAGTCATTATAGTTTTGTTTCTTCTAAACTAGCTCAAATTTTTGAATCAACTTTAGCTCTTACCTGAGGCGTGTCCAGATTGGGGCGGCAGCAGAAAAATCCAAGAAGATGAAAAACAGAAGAAGTGCATAACTTTCCATGAGCACATTATCACTGAATCTCTAATCAAGTCCACTCTTCTTTTTAGGTAGTTTCATTCAAGACTCTTTGGTCTTAGCCGACAGGACTGATTGTTTAAAGGCATGAAAGTAAGAGGCCCTCAGTCAATGAGAGTGAAACAAGAGCAGGGAATATGAGCCCCCGGGTCGGTGCTCAAGTTAATAATGGTGAGCAATGATGTTCTGAAACTGTACCTTCCACGTCCATAATTAATGAGAGTGTGCTAAAGCTAACCTAGATGATGTCGCAGTTAGTGGATCACTTCAACTATTTGTGTTTCCTGTGTATTTAATTTAAGGGCAGAAAGATGGCGAAAAAATCTGATACATTTCTAAAAATAATGCAGAGAATTGATACTTTGAAGTGAAGAAGCAAAAGAAAACTAACCCTTGTCTTTAAATTGTGAGAATTTGAAAATAAAATACATCATGATGAGGTGCAATGGATCTGCAGACGTGTGGAAACCACAGTGTTTTTTTAAGCCAGGTATCAAATGTATGCTTTCCACTATTAAAACATAGGAGACCAATGAAATAGTAAAAATGTAGTTACTTAAGTATGTTTGTGTGTCCTATGTGTATCAACACGTGTGAGAATTATTATTCACTTTACTTTGCAGGAAGTTGCAACGAATGGAAAGTATTTTTACGCATCTCCGAATCCTGTTGTTTACCACTTCCTGTGCCATATATGTGGGCATATCAGCATTTTCCTGCAGGTGCAAGCATCGTCTTTGTGAGCACATGATATTTTATTGCATGTACGCAGGCTTCAGCAATCAGAAGAACAATGATAATCTTCGTCCACTTCACTTTGCTCTTTTTTTGGGTCTCACAAGGTAATATATATATATATATATATATGTATATTCTTTTTCATTGGAATGAACAGCAATTAAGTGTTGAATGAAACAAAAATACTGCACCCATCTATGAAAATGTGCTATTCATTTAATGTAATACAATGCTTTGTAAAGTGGATCAAATTTCCTTTGTTTGCAGATCTCGTGAGCTGTGTTCATTTGACAGTACCGATGGATTTCTTGACGGTAGCATTAGGTGATTCTCTAACATTAAACTGCACGTACAATGACTCCAGTGGATTTGTTCGTGGCTGTTGGAGCAAAGGATCAGACAACTCTCGTTGCCTCGGGACAAAAAGCAACTTGAACACGACGTCCCTTCATCTAACAAATGTGTCTGCTGATGATCTTAAGAACTACACTTGCTACACATATGCTGCAGATAAACCTCAACTTCCACGAACAACAGAGCTCATCGTTTTATTGCAACCTCAAGGTAATTATATCAAAATCAATACAAGAAATATTTTTATCTGGGAAATTCTTCCAGGTGCAACATGTAAACTAATTTTACAAAGCTGGAGTTCAGATTAGAGTTAATTATTTTTTATTTCTTTTTAAGCTCAAAGTTCCCCCAAATGGCTAGATGTGCCAAAGAGTGGAACAAAGAATGGTGAGCACCTTGTATGTTAAAAAAATGTATGAACAGGTCCAATGGTAAATAGTCTGCAATTTTAGCTATACATGATTTGTACATTTACTTGTATTTATATAAACTATATAATATATTATCTTTTTATTCATCAGCAGTGATTCCTGCTAAGCCAAACGACACAACTGAAGGTAAGATGCTATTTTGAAAAAAGATCATTTTGTCCACACCCTCAATCATCATTAGTCAATATTTCCCTACACGATGCAATATATTGTCCCTGTCATGGTGAAGAGCCGGGCACATATTTAAAATATAGGTATTTCCTTTCAAAGAGGAAGAAGTGAGAGGAGAAGACTTTGTAACTGCAGGTTTGAGCAATTGAAGCCATTTCTATGCCAGTGACACTGTATCACGCAGAGTTTTTCTACGCCATTGAAATCACAAAAGGACGGTTCAAGATGGTTTAGTGTGTGGCAGCAACTGTCAAACACAGAGGAAGAGAGCATGATGGTCTTTTGAGTCTAGCATTCTAATAGCGCCATGCAATGCACTCTGGTCTACACCATAGGTTCATCCTACCAAAAGATAATAAACCAGAACACACATCTACTGCCGATGATTTGGGAACAACTTTTCCGAGCTACATTGTACATCTATTGCAAAAAAATGCTATTTTACTGAAACTTTTGACGATATGTGGAATTCGAAATTAAAAGTTGCAGTTTTTGATGCAATAAAATCCAAGTTAATACTGTTGTTTTCATGTTAACAGGAGAATTTACAGGTATTAAGGTTTTAGCGACAGTTACCGTTGCTGTGGCTACGTTGCTTACGGCATTAGCCGTTTACCTGTGGCTGAGCCAGAAAAGACAGAACCGGAACGATAAAGGTGAAATATCACAATGTGAAAACACACACTTGCTGTTACACTTTCTAAAAAAGAGCTTGAGTTAATAATGTCAAATATTCCAGGGGAGCCTGTTGTGTCAAGATCAGGGTGAGTACAATCTACTCAATGAATATTTGATCAAAGCTTTGTTCAATTACCTTCGAAAATATATCATTTTGGTTTTCTTAATTTGTTGATTTATTTTAATTACATTTTTTTTCTTGTTTAAGGTCGCCACTACTTCTTCATGCTGCCCCCAAACCAGTAAAGGGTAAAACGTTTACAATACCAAATATATTTTTGCAAGAATTTCAATCTCAGAATCCAGTTACCATTCATTCATTATATATTCCCAAGGGTCACTGTCAATACAAAGTGAAAGAGTGAGGATTCATGCACCAGGTAAGAGGATCTCTGGATCAGCAGAATCACCACTCTTGTTCTCCAAGTGAGACACCAACACTGTCTGCGATACAACGACTGACATGAACTAATATTGAATCATTTCTTTGTTCCAGATAACGAGAGTGACACTGAGGTTCCATATGCTGACATCATGATCACCGTCCGAGGTGTCAGTACACCCGAGCTCACTCAGGTCGGCTACCTGGCTGCTGGAGATCAAAAAGTTAGAAATCAATACGTTCTTTTTATCGTACGAAATCCCATGATGTATGAGCAGCCCTCGATAATGTACAAACATACAGTTCATTATGTATTAAAACATTTCTCAATCATCATAATATCATAACAAACAGATACAGCACCACAAAATACAGCCTACTAAGGAATCAAGTTTAGCACCTAAAAAGGTGGCGTTGAATTAACCATATGTACCAATTCAACTGGAAACTGTATTGATTGTTTACCAATACAATATTAATTTACACGTCTGCATATTGTGAAAACAAAACCCAATAACTTTATTGTAATTCTAATATTCAATATAGTTTTTAAATAAAACTCTTTGAAATAAAAATATTACAGTAACCCTTAACCATTTCTTGTCATTAAATTATGAATTAATTGTTAAGAGTTTTGAGATGGTTTATCTAATAACAACATGTTAATGTGACATTACTTTTTTCTCTGCTTCTCCTCCAGCTGTGGGGAGATGAATCAAGGTCTCACCTGCAGGCCTCTCGTTCAGCTGACCGACTGCATGTCCCACAGCCAAGAGAAGTCAGCCGCAAGATGAGCACCAACTCTGAATATGCAGTCATCACATATGCATGACCGAGCTCCCTGCTGCAGGAGCAGAAGATGAAGGAGAAAAAACATCAACCTTTTTTTTTTATTAATCCATTTTTTATTCCTTCTTTTTAAGCAATGTATTATTACAAGTGTTTAACTCTTAGATGTTTTGTATGTGTTCTATGGACCTGCAATTATATCCAATAAAGCAATTCTTTCTTGAGCCTCATTTGAGCCCTCTTGTTGTCCGTAGTTACAACCGTTGCCTAGAAACAGTTATCAACAAAACACAAGCAAACGTTTATGCGTAAAGGTTGATACGAAGCGAGCGTCATTTAAGGTACTACATTTAACTAATAACTCATATTCTGACACTTTCTAATACTTGCTACGGTTTACATTAAAGGGGTTCAAATGTTGAAAACTAGCCTGTCATCATATTCAACGTTAGCTAACGTTATCAAACGTAGGTTTAAAATATGTTAGCTGACAGCTAACGCTAACCTCTCCCCTCAGCTAACGTTACAGTCATTTCACACTAGGTTAATAAATGATCATAACTTTGACTGGCTTATCCCTCGCTGTCCCAGAATTGAGTGTGAGCTAAAAACATGTCGGTACCTTTCTGCAAAACTCACCTGCGGATCCCGCGAGGGTTCGGGTCCATCCTGGAGGGCTTGGCCCGGGAAGTCCTGCGAGACCAGCCTAAAGACATTCCCAAATATGCTGCACAGTATTTCGATGCTCTTCTCAAGCAAAGAGAAGGTGACTGAAACGGTACATTTGACAAATTGACAGAATTGTAATGTACTGCTGTCAAGTAATTAATTTGTATTATTGTAACTCAGACAGTGGGATGGACCCAGCTGAGTGGGCAGCTAAACTTGAAGACATGTACCACAACAATGCATTTAAGGCTCCTGAGGTAATAATCCCAAGTCACTATTCTGGTATATACATATTTGCCCTGGTGTCTCTGTTATTACACCTTTGTTGTTGTTTGTTTTTACCCTGTCAGGCTATTCCTGAAAAATATCCTGCAACAGAAGTGACGGTGTCCAAGTGAGTCCCATCTAATGTCCCATCAACAGCCAGAAGCATCAACAGAACAGGGAGAGGATAATGCACAAGGGAAATAATAGAAACCAGAAAGGAAAAGAATAAATGAGAATTAAGGTCGACATTTTTCACGTGTATAACTTTAAGTCGCTGTTTAGGGTAATATATAGATTTTTTTTTTCTGAAGATCTCTTCAAATATTTTCTATTATGGCTTAATTAAATATATCATTGGAATAGTCATATGCTATACCTTTTCATTGTAAAGAAAAACTTTAAAGCAAAAAAGCTTTGTGCAATAAAGCCTGGCAATATCACAGGTCAGCTCAGTATTAAAACCAGCTGCAGAAGACATAAATTATTTTCATAAATATTATAATAATATTATAATCTTATTTTTTTTACAAAAGCACCACTTCAATCCCCATATACATACATTCTCTCCTCAAGTTCAAGTAATATTTCATTTTTATTGGTAACTTTTTTCAGCGAGCAATCAAAGGTTCACCAAACGGAAGATGAATACAGTTTGGGAGAAACCTTCGATCTTTCCACTACGCACGTCAGAAGCTCTGAGGAAGTTGATTTATCTGCAAGCACAGAAGAATATGAGGAAAAAGATGACATCGCGGAGAAAGGCATTATTTTACCGGAAAAGGGAATTTCAGAAGAGGAAACAGTCATTATGCTCCCAGCTTTAGATGTACAGCCAGATTGTTTGAACAGAATAGAAGAAAAGGACCCAACAACTAATACGTTTGATCAAGTTGACAGGGCAGCTAATGGAAAAGATAGCAGCTTGGCTTCCGACCAAGATATGCCCCAGTCTGAGTTAGAGCCCACTGACGTGTTATCATTCAGAGCGATTATGAACGTAGATGTGTGTGCTCAGGAGTTGGCAGAAGATGAAGGCGGTGATCAACAAGAGACTGCAGTCGTAGATGAGGAAAAAGTAAACTCAGGGGGACTGAAAAATACCGACAGTGAAGCAAAAGTGGAGGTCTTTCCGTATGCCGGACAAGCTGATGTGGATGTGTGTGCTAATGAGCTTGGGGCAACAGGAAGAACAATTGAAGGAGCCAATGCTGAAGATAATGATGAAGACAGTTCAAATCTCCAACCCGAAGACACGGTTGAACAATCATTTAAAACAGACCGCGATCAAGATGAAGGAAAAGATCAGGTCGAAAAAGAAAAGGCGGGAGAAACAGAGGCTGAGGCTTCTCCCAGGGAAATAACTGCTTTAAATAATAATGTTATACCAAAAGAGGACTCATTGGTTAAGATAAGCGTTGATGATGTCCCAGAAGATCAGCAGACTAATGAGGATAAACAGCAAGAGGGCTCAGTGGAGGTCTTACAGGACAATGTATTGGAAATGCACCTGGAGGACGAGTCCAAAGAGGTTTCTTTACTGTCAACAGACAAACACATATCTAGCACACAAGACCAAGATGAAATTGAAATGACAAGTCACCACAAAGTATTTCATATGATGAAAGAGAAGGTGGACACAAATGACTATAATTTAAATGATAGTGATGATGAGAAGCTCAAATGTGTTGAAACTGGCTCATCACATCGGCCCACCGCCAAGGCAGGTGAAGAAAACCCAGGGGATGAAACCGATCAGAATGAACATAATGAGAAGATGATGAAAGGCGAATTTCATCAGAATGAGGAAGAGGAAGCAGAGTCCAGCAACCCTTACTACAAAGAAGACAAGACTGCAGGCGTGGTTGGAGGAGACAAAGGGAGAATACATGCAGAAAGTTATGTGGAGGTAGAGGATCATTTATTTCGAGTCACTGGGTCAAATGTATCAACTGCTGCAACGGAGAGGGGAGCTTTAGAGGCAAGTGCACAACATCTATTAGAGGAGAACGAGGAGGGTCAGACGCCCGCTGAGCCACAGGCGGAGAATGCAGTGGTGGAAAACGAGGTCACATCAAAGGAGATAAGTTCAAACGAAAGGGGCCTTGTAGACGAAGGAAACATTGATTCTGAAATAGAAAAGACGAATGATGCGATTTGTGATGAAGGCAGCGGCAGCAGCAGCATCCACACTGAAAGTGCAGATTGGCCGGCTGCGAGTCACCAAGGAGAGGAACAGACACTTGAAACGATTGGGGACAAGGTAACATTTTATGCTTTCTTCTCAATACGAAATATATGCTCACCACATCTCCTCCACTTGTATCAGCGGGCAGAGAATAACTGTCCACACAGTTTCAGACTGCTCCCATTCCTGTCTCAGGTAGTCTACATAAATAAAACCGTCAAGGTCGAGTCTCATCAACAGTTTTGCTCACTTTTTTGCCTTGGACTATCTAGGAGTAGGCGATTAGACTTGAATGCAATGTCAGAGGGTCCGCAACAGAAATCTCTTTAGTGCAGAAATTTTTAGTTTCAGTGTCTAAATTGGTGCTGCGTGTTATAGATGCTGTTTGAGGCCTTTGCTCTGCTGCATGCTCATAAACCTGTATACTTTGCCTTTGTTAGGGCCAGATCCCCTCTCCTCTTGGGAGCCACCACATCCTCCATCCACAGATTGAAACCTGATTCAGTAATCCATCATCATAAAAGACTTACTGGACTATTTGTCTTGTGTGTTAAGGCCTTTAAAATTTTTACTGCCGTCACAGTTAGCCATGTCTAATTTTTCTGGACCAACTAGGCTCCAAACAAACAGGGAAGGGAGTGTAGGAAGAGGTACTGAGGATATTACCATGGCAACCTCTCACCATCAAGCTCTCTCTTTGTGTCGTCATGGAATTAAATAGGAGATGCTGATGCTGATAGTTGCTAGGCAGCGTCTGTATCAGTCTACCTTTAATATCAGTTTTTTTTAAACAAGCAATTACATTCTTGCATTCAGTAGAGTGCTTTTTCGTATACTCTTGCTTAATGGCAGAAATAATTACTGCTGAAACGAAGTTACCACAACATAACTATACACTATACTATACAACTATCCAATGTGTATAGGCCACCTATACTAACAGTGACCTAGCTGCAAAAGGTCAGATCCCTTGTTTTTTCTCTTTTCATTTCTATGTCAACAATGATGTTCCTTATACTCTCGCCGTGAATAGATAGGCAATATAGATATTGTTACAAATATATTAATAATTTGACTGGTTAGTAAACCAGCAGGAGAGAGCAGTGTGTCAGATTTATAACTGATACAAATGGATGTTTTCTGTTTCTCGCTCTCTCTGTCTTGTCTCTGAGGCTGGCAGAAGAGTGTGGGCGGAAATACCAGCTGGGATCATAGGGATGGAGAGGGTTGTTAGCTCACTCTGCCTCTAATAAATTTACAACACCTCCTAGTGTAGAACAGCCCAAGATGCTTAAACTGTTTCATTTTCACGCTATTAATACAGTTTGAAAGTCTGCAATCATTGTTTTATGACCATCTGGCTTTTACATAGTATTTCTATGTTGGTCATCTGTTTCTGTTTGTGGTGTTTCTTGTTTTAACACATAAACTTGTGGGCTTTTTTTATGATGCTCAGTGCATGTGGTAGTCACTTTACATCTGACAGACTGAATAATTCATCATTCCTCCTCCCGTCAAAACGGTCAAACTTTAAATCCATCGAATAGGGTACGTTGTACAGTTAGCCGGTTAGTCAGTAGCTTTCCTGGAGTCTTTGGGTCATGCTCGCTGAACGTTACCGTGAACACAGTGGGTCAGCATCCTTAATGGGACGGAAAAGATGGAACACATGCTGTCATGTTTGTAGGAGGTCTCTCTTTTCCTCCCTCCCTCCCTCCCTCTTTATCTCTTCCTCTCTTTCGGACTGTATGTCTCTCTCTCTCTCTCTCACTCTGTTCGTGAGCGGGTGTTACTGAACATACAGTGAGTGTTAGTAAGAGCCAGTGAGACATCTGTATTAAACCACAGGCTCATTTAAAGAGAGCTTTGCTTAACATATAGCAATCAAAGCATACAAGTTGCACTAGTTAAGCTCACCTGAAGACTGAAAGCATCGCTGAGAGTGAGACATGGACTGTCACAATGTAAGTAGCTTCAAATTAACTTTTTATCTTTTTTTAAAATCATTAAGCGGTTTGGTTTATTCAGTTTTGCCCTTTGTTGGTTACTTATCGTATTTACGAGAGACCCACTGCCGTGTGTTTTTTTTTCTCACCTGAAATATAATAATAATAATTATGGCTCAAACATAAACATTTTTTACAGATTTGACTCCATTAAGTCGTATTATACGCAGCTTTTAAACTTTTTTTTTAATCATGAGTGGGTATTACATCACATAGAATATTTGCCTGAATATTTCAAACCAATTTGTGTCAGGACCCTGAGGAAATAAGAAAAACAAACAATAAGACCCCTGGCAAGGTGTGTAACCATCACACCCAGTGCAGCAAACCTGGATCTCTGCTACGGCACAAAAGCTGGATTCTGGCTGCTCATGGAGCAGTCAAACGGACAACAGGCTAATGAATGCTGGCTGAACGGGTGGGTGGTCGCACTCCTCCACTGGAGGGGTTTCACTGGAGACATGATGCACTGCATAACCGAGGCAGTGGGATGACTGTGGCTCGTTCTGTGGGTTGCCTTTTGTGTGAAATGCCAATTTCTTGTTCTACAAGTAAAGCATGGCGTGGCTGAAATGTCTTCGCCATAGAACTGGAATTGGTGTTCACATAACTTGTTGACAGCAGCCTTGGCGTTATTCCGGTGACAATTTATGACAAGCCAAAATGTAGCCTCCGCCCACCACATGTTTCCTTTGGGACATTACATGCTGCACGTTCAGTCCCCGAATGAGCTGCTGCTGCTGACAACGGGAGAATTTGCGCTGGCGGATCCTTTTCTTGCCAAGGCAGCAGTGAACAAAATTAGTTTACCCTTGAAAGCAATACTTTTTCACGTACGTCCACGCTATTTGAAATAAGAAGCATTAGAAGAAAGTATCCTTTATTAATCCCCAATAAATCCTTTTCTGCATTTAACTCATCCCACATACATTAGTCAAATATAACAGAAATTAGCAATCATTTCCACCAGCCTTGTTTTGTTCAACCAACAAACAACAACAGCAAAAAGCTTAATACACATTTAGAACTGATCATTTTGATTTTTAAGACACTTTTTCTATGCTGAAAAAAGGACAAATGCAGCACATGATGATTCATTATAAAATAGGCTGACTCAAATATTAATTCATTATATGACAATATGACAAGAGACAAAGGGGGGGGGGGGGGGGGGGGGGGTTATAGCGCTGTCCAAGTAATGAAATAGGCTGAGCAACAATCGCACATCCCTCACTGTCTAGAAGAAATTGTAGTAGTTTATAAAGTTAACATGATATTGCGTTCTGTCGAGGAATCAATTTTTCGTTCGAGGAAAAGAACAGCCTCGTCTGGTCCTGTGATACGCCTCCCATCTCTGACAGAGTACCACTTTCGGATCCTCTCTGCAGGAGGAGTGCAGCCGGCCCCAGGAGGAGGAGGACATCATGGACATCCCACTGGACGACCCAGAGGCCAACAGGGCTGCTGCAAAGATCCAGGCTGGTTTCCGTGGCCACATGACCCGCAAGAAGATGAAGCCCGAGGACAAAGCGGAAGGGGAGGAGGTGAGCAGCACCGAGGGATGTGCTCAAAGGCAGCGAGGTCAGACAGGTCACACAGGTCAGTGGTGTAGAACCACGGGATAAGATTAGGTGACATAATGCGGTGGAAGAGGGCCTGGTGGCTGGCGACTGTAAGGACGATAACGGAGGCCTGAATCAGGAGTTGTAGCTTCTGTAGGTGACGAAAGGTAAGTGAGCATAAGTTGCTCATTTGACCATAAACAGACTCGTTATTGACCTCTTCGGGTTTCCCATTTTAAGACGTTGTGACTGTAAGCTGAAACGCATCGTGCAAGAACAAAAAACAATTAACCATCATACACACATGAGAAGAAGCCATTTAAAAGCTATACATGCACATCTATTAGAGCCCCCTATGGGTTATTCCCTCTGAGATTAATGCAACACACCACTTTCCTTATCACACAGAGTCTCGAGCCAAAGATGATTGAATCTTTAGATTATTAATCTTCTGAATTCTCAACTGATTTGTCAATGTGACACGTGTTTTTATTTTATACAACCGCTTGGTTTCCAAAAAGGATTTACTGTTTCAACACAAGCAAAAATTTGCACCACAATCAGATTTTATGTACTTATTTTACTCGGAAAAGTAAAAGTGGAAACAAAGTCCTTTTTTTTTAAACAATGCAATGTTTGTCAGACGGACGTCGGTGTTTCTCCATAACCCAGTTGTGGGCTGCTTTGCATCCTTCGTAGGAGCTGTATTTATAGCACCAGGTGCATTAGCTACAGTATTTGCTTCAGGGAGCCAAGGAAAATTAATGAACCTGTCAGGCTGGAACCAAGCATCCCCTCCCATCGGGGGAGACCCCCTTTTCACAAATTGTTTTTCTAGCTCGGGTTATGTCACCCAGGTTCTGAGGATGGCAAACTATACAACATTCATCGCCTTCAAAATTGAGTTTTCTTCAAGTGTGTTTTGTATATCGGATCCACCCACAACCTTTTGTGACTGACAACAAGAGCGCATACAGCAACTGTTCTTTCAAAGCTTAAATACGTGTTTTCCTCTCTCTGTTGTTAGAGACAGGAGGATCGGGGGCAGTAGAGAGAGACGACACATCTGTGCCAGAGCAGTGACGCCCCTGTTCTGACCTGGATGGAGAGAAAGAGGCGAAGCAAAGTAGCGGGGGATGGCTGGCATGGGCTGGATTGGAATGGCTTTCAGTCACACCTTTTTACCCCGGAAGTCCTTTACCTTTCTTTTTTTTTAACAACGCACACTAGCAGTAGGAAATGAACCGAGAGTTTTCAGGGTGTGTTGTGTAAATTTTGTGAACACTCCTTCTCTTCTTCTTCAGTCTCAGCGGTGCGGATGTCTTTGACCCAGAATTTGCAACTCACTGCATGTACTTGTGAAACTTCTGGTAGTGTGCTAGTTTTTAGGTGATGATCTGTGAATGTCCTCTAAATGCTAAACCGGGCTTTTTTGGGATGGATCAGCTCATGCCATCTGTGTATAAATCTTGTATGCATCATAATTAGAATTAGACTTTGAGAATTTTGTGTCTTAAATAATGTATTTTGCATGGTTTACAAAGTGCTTGTATGTTGACTATCATTTACCCATTTAACTTGCTAACTTATTAAAAAATATGTATCTTCTATTTATTCTAAGACATGTCATACAGACCTCGATTATCTTTTTCAAAGAATAAGAAGGTTTTCTTTTCACCGCTTCAAACATTTTCTATAAATCTGATCTTCCGGAAGTAGGCATGCAGTGATTCAACTTTTTTTCCAGATGCATTTGGTAGAGCTTTACTTCATGAGACATTGCTTCATATGTGCTGTTGTTATGTTCGACTTGTTTGACATGTTGAATCAGGTATTTGAAATCATTTTATCAAAGTCGACCCAGCTGTCTTTCTTGAAAACTATTTTATTAGTACTGAACTTTGCTGTGGAGTCCTGTCATTACACAAATAAATCCACCTGAAAAATACAGTGACTTACCTAGTCGTTTTTATATTTATTTAATTAAAGTATTTTTTAATTTAAAATTCTAAAATTATTTATTTGTCCTTTATTATAACTTTTGATGTGCCTGGACAAATAGCTTTTACCCGTGACGTATAATACAAGGTATAAAACAGGGACATTTAGATATAAAACGTTTGTTTCCCTTTAACAGATGCACTGTCCTAAACAGCTTCACCACTGAGGGATGTGTGCAATGGTTTTTAGTCTACCGTTATTGCAATAACAGTGTTAAATCACAAAAGAACAACGCAATGTTTGCTTCACTTGACCAGCCGGTCTTGTTCACTTGATGAGAAGTAGACTACAGTGTCTTCTGTCCCTCCCCCCCCCCCCCACTGCTCCCACTCAACCCGCCCACATACATCTTAACCAGCAGAACAGCACTTAGCAGCAAAAACTCAGCTGCACGTGCATTCCCACACAGGAAAAGCACGACCCATGCTTTAGTACGCAGATGCCACTCAAGTGCAAAAGGCACCTGCACACACACAAATAGAGGCGCTGTAGAGTGCGTCAAAAGCTGTTGGCACGGCAACTAGCATGAGGTTTTGCCAAGCCACTTCCTTCCTGACATTCCTCCTCCGCCAAGCTCGCATAAACACCTTCTATGACAACTACTCTCGTCTCACCTAATCAGTCCCCACAGGTGCCGCGACTACGTTCTCCCGTCTCTTTAAAGGCCGTGGGTTAAAAAAAAAAATCAATGTTGTGGACACCTCCGAACATACCCACTTTCTGCTTCTGAGAGTGGAGGCAAAGACAAGTTTTCAGAAAGGACAACATGGAAATCTTGGTCATGTCCTCAATGGATCAGTAAGTGAGTTTGTAAAGCGCATGATACAGTAAAGCAGAAAATAATAATTACGTCCCATTTGTGGCTAGTTGAGCTGTACATGGAGTTTCTTCGCAGTAGATGATGCGAAAGCTCTTCTTGGCTCGTTGGTCTTTCTTAGAGCCTGTCAGGGAAAAAATATCGTTCTAATCTCCTGGGTGACAATTAGAGCTGAATAATTCTGGACATAACAGCGAGGGGCGCTGCTTTCGAGTAGTTATGCCACAGTCATCACCATGTTGAGGGACACATCATTACATCAAGTAGGTTACGCAACTTAGCGCTAATAAGAGGACATTAACGTACCAGCTGAATGGACAAAAACAGATATTTTAGCATCAATTAGAAGTCCCACTCAAAATACGTAATATCATCCTGCTTCCCATTATCATGATACATTTAGTCAAATCTGATTTAGTCTGCACTGGATTACATCATTCATGTTGAACTATATGTGATGGTGAACAGTTTCTGTCACAGCGCAGGCACCCAAACGGCCACACAAGCGTCCTTCTGTGCTGCCGCTCTGCGCGTTGAAGGGTGGTGCCCCTGGATTCAGGGTGTGTTAGAAGATGAGAGGGAGAGGGAGGTGCTGCTTTTAGTGAGGGCAGAGGTGGAGGGGAGAGGTTCGCCTTTGATGGCCCACCACCAAAAGTTTGAGGCCTGGGAGAATGATTTCAACAGCATCTCTTCCCACATTCCTGCAGCTGCCTATCAATCATGCTTCCTCCTCTGCATAAAACCTCCCTTTATCGTCAAAGAATATTCCTCCAGAAAACAAAGACTGCTTTCCCAAGTGGGATGATTTATTATGCAATTGAGTTAACAATGAATGCTTTAATCTCCAAAAACCTTGGAAAAATGACTGATGGGGGATTATTTACAATGAAATCATGTCTGATGTTATCAAAGGCAGCAGTCCATTCTCCAACAAATGGACAGGATGTTGTTTTTTAGGTTTTTTTATTCATAAAGCACCTATTGTGCTCCTGTAAATTACTCACTCTGAAAGCGTCGCCCTCGTTCAGTTCAGTCGCTGAGTGTAGCGCGTGTACCACCCAGAGGACAAAGCAGGTACACAACGCTGTGTCCATGTGTTTCCTTTATTTGCTGTTTTCATCGGGGTTTTTTTGAGGCTCCAGTCCAGACAGGAGTTTTCACAAAAGTGGGCAAAGGAGGGGGGGGGGGGGGAGTTGTTTTTTAAACTAAGACATTTCTGAGCTTTAAATGTGCTGCTCTCAGAACTGAAGTACATTATTTCTCCTCAGCAGGAATTCTGAAGCTTAATAAGAAGCTGAACTTAAGGAGCTGAACTTAATATTGAAATGACCTGTGTCAATGGTTCACTTATTGTGTAATAAAGAGCGAGCACTTATTTTGTTGCATAAGGCTGTGGAAAAAGAAAAATAACTGACTGCCTGAAAAGCAAACACTATTAATTTTCTGAAAGGGCAACGTGGGGTCGAAGAGAGAAGTTAATCTACACTTTGTCTCTGACTCACGCACACACACAAACACACACACACACAGTTGGCTGTTGTTGGCTGTGACTGGGGTGCTGTGAGGCGAGTGGGGCTCAGTGGGACCAGGCAGAGGCCGGCGTTGCAGGCAGGCAGGCAGAGGAGAGAGCATTGAGCCGCAGAGACGTGCACAGGGTGGATAAACCATGCTCACTGAGTGGGGGAAAGACTCTGCCCAGGACACACGATGAAGGTGGAGAGGAAGACCTCCTCTACAAGCGACACTTTTACTGACATTCCTACGCCACTGACGTTGTTTTGCCTCCTCCTCCTTCTCTTCACAGGTAAGCTCAAAAATTTGTTCGGCTGTTTCAGAGACGCGAGGATGAAAAACATCCCTCTGTGACAAGAAATCAAATGCATTCTAATCAAAATCAAATCAAAATTTTGTTGGAAAAGCTGACTGGGCCCAGTGACTATCATTCAAATTAAAATATTAAGAATTTTCTTGTTTTACAGTATTTTGGTTACTGGTTATCATGTCGTGTAAAAACTCAAATCCTCTCTTCTTATGAAGGGAAGTTTGGTCCTTGTGTTCCACGGATTGGTGACACAATGGATTCGTTCATGGGTGGTGCTCTCTGTCGGGCCCTCATCCTGAGCTCCAAGGAGCCTGGAGGGTCCATTGTAGGTGTGAAAGAAGGGGATGTGTAGGTTAAGTGTGATGTTATGAAGTTTTGTTCAGGGCTGGTGAATAGGGCAAAGCCTGCTTCATTTGAGTGTGGAAAGCTTTAAACGTCCATTTGAGGGGAAAAAACAACTGGAGAAGTTAAGCATGTGGTGAATTTGGTTTAACAATGTGTTGATCTTATTTTATGACTACACCGTGTACTCAGTTTACCCAACCGGGTCAGTTTTGTTAGAATCCCTGAATCCGGTGTCCATCTCCAACTTCACCAGTGACAAAGACTCACTTTCTCTTTCTCCCTCTCTAGCGCTCTCTCACTCTTTTCAAGGGAGGAAACTAGTTCCAACAATCGTGCCCTTTGTCTTATCGCCTTGGCAACGTCCTGTCAGGCGGACCTAACGGTTACCACGGTAATGAGGCGATGCCCTGCTAACTGCCTCACTGCAGAGAAGAGTGAACAGTGCAGACTCTCTGTCTCCTCCCTCTCTTCTTGGATGATCTTTCCACCACTGGGGGCTTAACAGTGGGATGCCCCTCGCACGCCCACGGCCAATGTTTAGGCCTCCATGTGTCCAGCCTCAGCTGAGTTATAGGAAGCTCAACTGGGAAGATAATGACTTCGCAGGGTCTGGTTTCCAAGACAGGGCTCTTTTATAAAAGATGAAATGTGGCTTACACTGTAATACCTTATCCCCCCCCTTCCCCATGGGAGACGAGCGATAATTGGGGAACACAAATCACAATTAGTTGTTCACTACAAGGGGTTGTGAGGAATTTGTGGGCGAGGGAGGGTGGGGTGGGGAGGGGGTGCGAGAGGGTTCTGAGAAATAAATCAGTGATTAGGGAAAAACAACCTGTGTGCGTATGAGTTCAAGTCTGCAACCAAAAAGAAAGCCCCTTGTGTGAAGATCTATTGAATGACAGCATCAAAGTGTGCAAAGTCTGAAATGTAAGAAATGTATTGCTTCCATGCAAAAAGTATTTTTTTGCATGCATTTAAGTAAAAATATAATGTATACCTATGAAATCTTGTTTATGTTGTTGGAAATGGTAGGTAGACACAAATATACTTACACCTAAAAAACAAGATGGATGGAAGAAGTACAGACTTTAAAACACACAAAAGGGTGAAAGCTATTAGGTTAACAATTTGGAGCTCATTTCCTTAATATTGTATTCATATTGCGCAAATGTTCTGTTGTAAACGCCCATGGTCCGTGCCTGTCCTTGCAGTAATAGTAGTACTTTGCAGTAATTAGTGTCCTCTGCTGTTGCTCAAGTGATTTGTTTGGTCTTTGCTTGCAGATGGAGCACCAAAGGCTGCAATGCGACTGTCCTTTGTCCACTCACGGGTCCCCAAACCAGCCCTTCCTTCCTCACCGCCGTCTCTTTGTTGCTTCTTCCAGGTGAAGTGTCAGGGGTGAATGTGACCAGCCAAGCCCAGGTGGTGAGGGGCACGGCGGGCAAAGAGGCCCTGTTGTCAGTCAGCTACTCCAGCAGCAGCTCGGACAAGCCTGTGATTAAGTGGCAGCTGAAGAGGGCCAAAGAGAAACCCATCACCGTGGTGCAGTCCATAGGAACAGACATCATAGGGAACCTGAGGCCAGAGTACCGCAACCGAATCCAGGTATTTGAGAACGGGTCGCTGCTGCTTCACAACCTGCAGCTGTCAGACGAAGGGGCGTACGAAGTTGAGATCTCCATCACGGATGACACCTTTACTGGAGAGCGCTACATCGAGCTCACTGTGGACGGTATGCAGAACGACCTTCATTTGAAAGAGCCGCGTTCACTTACAGCTCAAAGAGGCACTTTTTTCTGTGTAGCCAGAAGGCAACCACTCTTTGAATATTCATTCCCAAGCCCTCCTGTGTCTTTGTCCTGTCCCCTTGCTCAGTCCCCGTGTCCAGACCTTACATACAGATGATGGCCTCGTCTGTCCTGGAGTTGAGCGAGCACTTTAACCTCCACTGTTCCCATGA